GAACTCACTTTGTAGATCAGATTAAGCTGGCCTTCAACTCACAGAGATCTGCCTCCTCTGCCTTCCCAGTGCTGATTTAAAGGCAAGTGCCATCACTGCCTGGCACATGTTCCGTATTTTTGAAGGCCATTAATGTGCTAAAACATCTTACACAGATTGAGAGAGCGTAGACAATGTGTATCCAGAGTACCTGAGTTCAAGTCCTGGTTCTAATAAGCAAGCCAGCAGTCCCAGCATGAATAACACATTTGACAGATGTGCTTATTCTCTTATAATTTTGCCATAAATACTGCAGGTGCCTCAAGCCCACGTAAGAAAATAAATATGAAGCTGGTGATACAGTTCAGCCCTTGTCACCAAACCTGGGCCCCTGGGTTCAATCCTCTGAGCCCATATTCCTGCAACCTTTGCTCTGAATTCCACACACACTGTGGCATATAGAGGCCCAGACACACATAAACACAAAATAAATAAATTCAATTTTTTAAAATTAGAAACTTGGTAAGTATGGAGGATCTGCTGAAGTATCTCAGTGTTTGTTCTATAACTTACCAGAGATACACACTGTATTTTAGTGTCCCAGGAACCCATCGGCAAATGGGGAAAAGGGTTGTCTGTCTACAAGTCTTTTTTAATTATTATTATTGTTGTTTTGTTTTGTTTTTCGACACAGGGTTTCTCTGTATTGCTTTGGAGGTTGTCCTGGAATTTGCTCTGTAGACCAGGCTGGCCTTGAACTCACAGAGATCCGCCTGCCTCTGCCTCCTGAGTGTTGGGATTAAATGCATGAGCCACCAAAGCCCGGCTCTCTACAAGTCTTATTCCTAGTTCCTGGATAAATACTATTATGACAGGATAACTTCAGATTTTTCATTACTGTCTATGTATATGTATGCTTCTTTTTCACACTTAAGGGCAATTTAGTGTCTTATCAACTACTAAATTTTGTGATATTCAGGTTATTTTTAGTAATGATGACAATATTGGCAAATTTATCTTCCAGTGTATTGTAAAACATAAACAACATTGGGCTGGAGAGATGGCTCAGAGGTTAAGAGCACTGACTGCTCTTCCAGGGGTCCTGAGTTCAATTCCCAGCAACCACATGGTGGCTCACAACCATCTGCAATTCAATCTGATGTCCTCTTCTGGCATGTAGGCAGAACACTGTATATGTAATAAATAAATCTTAAAAAAAAAAACATAAACAACATCAAAGCTACACAGAGAACCCCTATCTCGAAAAAAACAAAACAAAACAAAAAAAAAAACAAAAACAAAAAAAAAAAAGAGAAAGAAAGAAAGAAAGGCCCATTAACAACAGAGTCTTGCCTTGTTTCAGCAATCCAGCATGGTGTCTTATTCCAGGGGGACTAGCCCTTATCACTGTGACTAAAATAAATGATTATTAAGATTGTGTATCAGAACCTTTCATGGTAGCTCATGTGTGCCATCCCTACACCTGGAAGGTTGTGGCACAATTGCTACGCATTTGAAACCAGGCTCGAATACAGGGTAAGATTCCTTTAAAAAAAAAAAAATATATATATATATATATATGCTTACTCCAAAACCATTACTCCACTTTGTTTTAAGAAATAGAACTAGATTGCAAAACCCCAGATTTTTTCACAATTTGTAAATAAATGTTTCTGTTTATTAAAAAAATATTCTTAACTCCAGAGCTGTCCCATCTTCTTTTATTTAAATATTTCTTCAGTAATTGTGTTTCATGGGAATCACTTTCCTCTGTTTGTAATAAACTTCAGTGTGTATTGTGCACAGTTAGAATCACATGCATTTCTGGTACTTCTCAAGGACAGTGTGGCTGTGGTTGTCTGGTCACCCTCAGCCTTTTCACAGAGGTTACAGGTTGATGGCAGACCTGAAGGACAAAGTCTGTCGTTTGAAGGTTTATTTAATTATTTGGGATGTATGATTGTTTTACCTGCGTGTGTGTCTGTGCACCACCTTCATGCCTGGTGCCGGTGAAGGTGGCGAGCCTCCATGTGAGTGCTGAGAATCAGACCCAGGTCCTTTCCAGAAACAAGTGCTCTTAACCACTGAACCAACTCCCCAGCCCAAAGTTTGTTTCCTTTACAGGGACAGGAGAATTGTGTCTGCAGAGAAGCTCACACAGGGCTAGATGGTTGTCCATGTATTTTAACATTTAATTTCCAGCTCTTCCCCAACAGTTCTGAGCTACTGGGAGAAATGTACATTTTGTCAGATAGCCTCTCTACAGTACTCAGGCATGGATAGAGTTTCTCAACTTCATCAACTTGCCAGTAATGTACTGGTCTAATGGGACTATGATCATAAAACTAGTAATAAAATACTAGATATATCTTATCTGGATTCGATTAGATATCTACCAAATTAGACAGATGAAATTAGAACTACTCCACATGAGGTTATACATATGGGATCAAACTGGCAAGGAAGATCATTGGAAGTTGGGCATTGGTGGCACATGCCTTTAATCCCAATACTCGGGAGGCAGAGGCAGGTGGATCTATGTGAGTTCAAGGCCAGCCTGGTCTACAGAGCAAGTTCCAGGACAGGCTCCAAAGCTACACAGAGAAAAAAACAAAAAAACAAAAAACAAACAAAAAACAGATGTGTCTTGCCATCTCAAGCTCCTTTGTAGTGGGGCTTTCTTTTGGGCTGCCCACTCACAAATAATGACACAGAGACTTATTAATTATTAAAGCTTGGCCTTAGCTTAGGCTCATTCCCAACTAGACCTTTTTTCTTTTTTTTTTTCTGTTTCTTTTAGTTGTTGTTTTTGTTTTGTTTTGTTTTTTCGAGACAGGATTACTCTGTGGCTATGGAGGCTGTCCTAGAAATTGCTCTTGTAGACCAGGCTGGTCTCGAACTCACAGAGATCCTCCTGCATCTGTCTCCCAAGTGCTGGGAATTAAGGCATACACCACCAATGCTGGCTTCTTTTTTCTTTTATTACTAGTTATATTTACTATTTATTGAGAATCAACTAGCTCTTATAACTTAAATCAACCTGCTTCTATTAATTTATGTTCTGCCATGTGGTTTTTACCTCTCTCCTAGTCTGTATGTCTGACTTGCTCTACATCTTGGTGGTATCTCCTGTGTGCCTAGATTCATCTCTTCCTCTCCTTCTCCCAGGAAATTCCACCTATCCTCTCCTGCCTAGCTATTGGCCATTCATCTCTTTATTAAACCAATCAGGTGCCTTAGGAAGGTGAGGCAAAACATAGACACATCTTCACAAATATTCTACAACACCCTCTTTGACTTTCCTGCAATAATGGGCTGTATTGGAGTCAAAGAAAACCCTTTCTCCCTTAAATTTTCTTTTCTCAGGGTGATCTGTCACAGCAACAGGAAGTGAAACTAAGACTAGAACTGTTTGAATAAAGTTTAAAGATGTAAAACTTACAGAAATAACAAACTGGGGATGGAGATATGGCTCAGCGGTTAAGAGTACCCACCATCTGGTCTTCCAATGATCCTGAGTTCAATTCCCATCAACCACATGGGGCAACTCACAACCATCTGTAATGAGATCTGGTGCCCTCTTCTGGTGTGCAGGCATTCACCCAGGCAGAACACTGTATACATAATACATAAATAAATCTTTTTAAAAAATCTATTCAAAAAGGAAACTGAGACAATAATGTCATTTCCATTACCAATAAAATAAATAAAACACCTAGAAGTGAATTTAGTCGTAGATTTTTTTAAAAAGGCTTGTATCTTGGCTGTTTAAGGAGGAGGGGAAGAGTATGTGCTGCAGTCTAGTCTGGATCAGCATCTCCTCCGAATCCAAACTCTGTTGCGCTAAAAACACTGTATAAAGCATACTTACTGTCCTAATCTACAGAGCAGAACTCACCAAAAAGGTTGGGGCTGTTGTTATCTTCAGTGAGTCTGTTACTACTCATTTCAGGTTTTAACTTAGTCTCAAAAGAAAGGCAAGTGCACAGGTTATGGTAACTAACGAGAGTGTACACAAGTGTTTTACAAGGTCAAGCCCTGAACACTGAGAACCATCCCTTGTAGCAGCTGTTCCTAAGTATGGTGCCATCTACTCAAACAAAGATGGAAGCTCACACTTATGCAGTTTTTAAAACCTAAAAAAGGGCCTTAGGAATGTACTAACATCTGTACAAAAAGCTTTGCAAAATAAAACTAGTGAGCTGGGAAGATGGCTCAGACGGTGAAGGCACTTGTCATCAGGTCTGACAACTGAGCTCAACCCTCAGATTCACAGAGTGGAAGGGGGAAACTGATTGTCAGCATGTCGTCCTCTGACCTTCACACAAGGATCTGGCTTGCCACTCGGTTGAGCTCCTAGAGTCTTGCTGAAGAAAGGGAGGAGATATTGTATGAGCAGGGATAGTCATAATGGGGGAGGGGCACAGAGACAGCTGACCTGGGCTCATAGGAGCTCACAGACTCTGGAATGACAGCTAGGGAGCCTCCATGGGACTGCCCTTGCCCTCTGCATGTGTGTGACAGTTGTGTAGCTTAGTCTCTTTGTAAGACTCCTAGCATGAGATCAAGACCTCTTCCTGGAGTTTAGCTGGCTTGTGGGAACCTGTTCCCCATGCTGGATTACCTTGCCCAGCCATGGTCCTGCCTCAACTTGATGTGCCATGCCTTGCTCAAGCCCACGGGAGGTCTGCCTCTTTCTGAATGGAGGAGGAGGAAGGGTGGAAAAGGACGGGAGTAGGTGAGAAGCCGGACAGCTGGGGGCTGGGAGGAGAAATGGCAAAATAAATAAATAAATGTGATTCAAATGTAAAAAAAGGATGTGGCTTGCACACCTGAGTAATAAATAGACAAATGAATGTGTTACTAAAAAAGAAACTAAAACCAGGAGAGCTGAGAGCAAAATTTCAGAACTTACAAGCTGAAATCTCAGTAATTGCTCAGAAGGGCACAAAACTATTACATAAAACAGGCATGACTTATAATGTTCAAAAATCATAAACATTAAACACAAGACAGTCAAATGAGCATTTTATATTTACTGATACTTAGTTTCTTACATTAAGTTAGATGCATTTCAACTTTCAGTTTAAAAAACCTCTGAGTAAATTACAGTTTATAAGAGGCAGAATTTGAATTTGTATACCAGACATAACACCGACTCTAGGCTACACATTACTGCTTGTTTTCTATTCTTTGATTTGCTGTGGAATGTGAGATATCCTAGGGCAAATCACCATATTCTCATTAGTGATGGCCAGCAGGCCAGTTCTTATGAATTGTCTTAAGTAATAGGGATGAGTGGCTTGCAGGCTTTGTCACATTTCTTGAAGACAGAGGGAAATACAGAAGTTGGAGAGCATGGATGTTATACTGATTGATCTAGCTAGCTTTCGGCTTGATTAGCTGTCTTTGAGGCTATTAACAAGAGCGGATAAGCATCTCTCCTAAATGATTCCAGATTCACCACATCTAAGCATGACCACAAGTTTTTAAGTGCAGAAGAGAGGCCACAGGAAAAGATGCCTGAATGGCACAGGTATGTCCAGATGGAGGGGAGCCTCAAGGCGGGAAGTAATTCCAGAAATGGATGAATGAGAAAACTCAGGAGTTCTGAGGACACAGGGTCATGGGGGCTGGGCAGTCCCAAGGATTGAAGTATGGATAAGCAGGCTGGGAAAAGCAGCAGTGAGAGAACGTGTAAATGGGTGACCCGTGGTTCGTGACATTGAAGAAGGACACTATGCCCTCCTCACAGTCAAGAAAAACCCCAACCCGATGGAGAGGGACAGCCACAAAGGGGGTCAGGACTGCAGGATCACAGTTGGAAGAATCCTCAAAAATACTATACTTTGATCCATCCTGTAGCCCTATAACCCAGTAGCCATTCTGAGGTTTGTATCTGTGGTGAACATTTGACTGATTTTTGCCTCGTCGAACATCAAACTTTAAAGTACATTTTCTAGCGTAAACTCCCAGGGTCCAGGCCCTCTTCTTAGACACATCCACTTCCCAGTAATGTTTTCCTGAGGAGAAACATTTGGAGCCCAAGATACTATTATTATAACACTTAAATGGCCAAATGGGCACAGATATCACTTGTCTGTTGTCTTCTGAAAGAATCAGATTCAAATTTAGGTTTTCTGGATTAAATGTGAAGTCCACTGTAAGGGGGAAAAAAGAAAGAAAAAGATCAGGTGACAGATACAGCGGTAGCCTATTTGATGACATTGTGAAAAGCAAACACTGGAAGGGTTAGGAGAAAATAATATTGATTGATTGTGGGAGATGGTAAAACATGTTATATGGTTGTTGTTTTTAGGGCAGGGTCTTGTTAAGTGGCCCAGGTTAGCCTTAGACATGCAATTCTCCTGCCTCATCTCCCTAGTGCTCAGATTATAGGCATGTACCACCATACGGAGCCCTGGAGGAACATAGTATGTGTATGTGGGAACACGGGACACGAGGTGATGAGACCTCAGTGAAGCAATACTTTGGAAAGATAACCACAGCGCAGTGATTTGAAGATATCCAGCTTCTTACCCCAGTAGCCCCGGACAGCTGTTAGCTCTGAAACGATAAAAGATTTGGTGACTTTCATGAGAAGCAAACATGTGGAAAGCAACACTTCTCTCTAGCGGTAGGAAAGGCTGATATAGTGAAGCTATAAACTGGTAAATGAGAGGACAAACCAGATCCTTTACAGTTAGTTCTCCTACAGACACAACTGCATCTTCATCCTCACAGAGTGCCCCTCCCTGACCCCCTGGCTCTCTTCACCTTTCCCTTTAAACTTGCTCCCTGATGCCACCGGAGCCCTATATGCACACTCCCCGCAGCATTCCTCACTCACCTCTGAACTTTCGGAGCATGTCGCTCAGATCAGGAGCTTGGAACACCTTCATCAGTTTCTTAGAAACCACTTTTGGCTTCTTCAGTGTCCAGATCTGACTCCTATGGATGAAGAAATGTTTTAACCTTTACATCTGTTGAGCTGCTGTCTCTCAAACACACTGCCTTTATCCCCTTCCACAGCATTGGTGTACTTGATACAAGAGGAGCCTCAGGGAAAGCCCTGACTCTGAATAGAAGCCCTAGGCCTCTGTGAAATGTCCCACTTACATGCTGTGTGGATACTGGGAGGATCTATACTTCTTGAGATCAAAGTTGCCTCCCCTAAATACAGGGTAACTTTCACCACCCTTGAAATCTCATAGAAATAATACAAATTTGGGTGGAGAGCAAAGGGAAGATTTGGCTGCCTCACTGAAGGTAGAGTGCGGACACATGAGTCCTCAAGGAAATTAAGAACAAAGCTGCAGGTCCTGACTATTACGTAGGACACTGCACAGACAGCTGGTGAGTTTGTGAGCAGTCCAAAGCCTGGATTCCAGTGGTAGCCCCCACATTAGGGAGAAAAGATGGTTAGTGGAAGAACAAAATCTGAACTCCAGTGGTGACCTACATCTGTAATAACAGATTGTAGTGGGGAAAATTTACCAAAAAAAACCAAAAAACAAAATGTTACGGCTTAAAATGAGCATTGCCAGCCAGTTATAGTGGCTCCTGCCTGCAATCCCAGCACACAGAGGGCAGAGGCAGGACGCTCAGCAGCTCAAGGCCAACCTCATCTACTCAGCAAGTTCAAGACCAGCTTTGGCTGTATGGAACCCTGTCTCAAAAAGCCGAAAACAGACCCCCAAATGAGCCTAGTTCTAATTTCAGGTGCATTTAAAGGAAGTTGATGCTAGCAGATTGGCAACTACGGATTCAAGGATTATACTTTAACATCAGAGTATGTAAACCTTGCCAAACAAGAGATTGATTATTGGAAACTTGGATAAAAATGGCAAAGCCCTAGGTATGTGCCTGTTTTTAAAAGTCAGTAGAAATCTTCTATTTTCAGTGAATAAGTGTGAAGAATAATCCCCATGGCCTGACTTGGGAGTGAAAAGCAGTCCTCTTGGCCTGCCTTAGGTGTGAAGAGCAGGTGGCCTGTCTTAGGCCTTTGTCAGGCTTTCTGGGTACAAAACACCTATGAGTTAGGAGATCCAGGACTGGCAGAAGGAAGGGAATGTGAAACGGTGACATTAAGTCACAGGAAAATGACTACTCTGAAATCTCTAATGCCACATTCACTACCATTGAGTCTAGTTCATTCTCTGTGGGGACGAGACGAATCAAGACTTTACCTAGGACCAGCAGTTCTAGGTAATGAGGCATCCATATGTCCTTGATCTTGGAAAGCTTTTCCCCACTGGTATAAAAAATATTGATAATGGCTCCTGTTTTAGTTAAGGTTTCTATTGCTGTGATAACAGCATGACCATAAACAAATTGAGGAGGAAAGGGTTTATTTTAGCTTACATGTCTGGATCACAGTCCATCATGAAGGGAAATCAGGGCAGGAACTCAAAGCAGGTACCTGGAGGCAGGAACTGAAGTAGAGACCACAGAGGGATGCTGCCTGATCCTCACACCTCACTCAGTCTGCTGTCTTATACAACCCAGGACCATACGATACAACCCACATCAACCATTAATAAGGAAAATGTCCCATAGGCTTGCATACAGGCCAATCTAATAGGTTCATTTACTCAATGGAGGTTCCCTTTGTTCAGATGACTCTAGCTTGTGTCAAACTATCAAAAAAACAAAACTAATAGGAACAACTACTAATCTGTCGTTAGTACACAAAAAGCACTACTTGGAGTCACCCATACGCACCATTTCAAGACACCGCTCATATCCTAGGGAGAAGAAAATAAAAACACAAGTCAGGGAGTGTGAGAATCAGAGCAGGGTTAGTGAAAAATGCAAAGCAGGAGGAGGGGATCAAGAATAAGTTATTTTATGTGTATTGCTTTCCAGATAGCTTCAGTGCCAAGGTTACAGATAACCTCCAGCAAAACCGGCTAAAAATATGGTTTCTTTCCTTCTCCTTTTTTAAAAGTTATGTCAAAATATCAACAAAACTGGTAACAAAACTAGGAAAAAATAAAAAAGAGGTGCAATTTTCAAATGGGGAAGAAAAGATGAGACATTGGCCAGGAGGTGTTGGTACACGCCTTTATTCTCAGCACTCCAGAGGCACAGGCAGGCAGATCTCTGTGAGTTCGAGGTCAGCCTGGTCTACAGAGTAAGAGTTCCAGGACAAGCTCAAAAAGAAAAAAAAAAGGTAAAAAGATAAAAAGATGAGACAGACACTGCTACTAACCTTGAAGAAATTAAAAAAGAATTGTGGTGGCATGTGCCTTCAATCTCACTTCAGAAGCAGAAGAAGGAGTTGGGCTACATAGTGAGATGCTGTCCCATAAAAAAAAAAAATGGAATCTTTCCTAAAAGTTTAAAAGGATAAGTAAAACCTTTAAAATTCTTCCAAAAAATACAAAATGGCTTTATGTAACACTGAAATTGTTAAGGCATCACAAGAAGAAGCAACAAAAGCACCATGGGATTGGGGATACAGCCTGGCAGTAGAGTGCTGGGGACAAAAATGAAAAAGGGCAGTCAAGATGGCTCAGTGGGTAGAGGCGCCTGCTGCCAAACCCAATGACCTGAGTTCAGTCCCTGGTACCCATGTGGTAAAAGGGGAGTACAGACTCCCACAACTTGTCCTTTGATCTCTTCATGTGGGCTAGAGCACATATACATGCATGCATGTGCTCGTACACACACACACACACACACACACACACACACACACACACACACACAATGCAATTAAAATTTTTAAATCCCAACTGGGAGTGGTAGTACACTCAGGAAGCAGAGGCAGGCAAATCTGTGAGTTTGAGGCCAGCCCAATCTACAGAGAGAATTTCAGGACAGGCTCCAAAGTTACAAAAAACCCTGTCTCGAAAAACAAAACACAAAACAAAACAAAAAAAACAAACAACAAAAAATTAAATCCCAAAAACAGAAATTAAAACTTATGGCCATTATAATCATGACCAAATAAGATTTATCCCATAAATGGAGGTCAGGTTCAACATAAATATATCAGTCAATATGATAGACCAGATTAATAGAAATTAATAGAAGAATAAAATCACACCATCTTAATGATGGTGAAAAAAAAAGCATCTGACAAACTTCCACCTCCATTGATATAAAAACAAGAAAGAGAGCAGGCAGGATTAGAAGGCAGCAGCATCTTCAGCCTGTCAAAGATGTATAAACCCACCGGCTAATATCATACTTAATGGCAGAAAACTGGTTTCCCTTAAGACTGGAAAAGAGGCAAGAACATTCTCTTCCACAAGTTCCACTCAACACTGAGCGTTCCTAGCTACAGGAAGAGGCAGCGTCTCTGCCCTGAGGTAAGGTGCTCATTCCTACCTGCAGCAGCTCTGTCGCTGACCACTGGCACCGACGCTCCAGATCTGCGATAAGTTCTTTCACCAACTGGCTCTGTTGAGCCAGCTCAGCCTCCGCCTCCGCCAGGCTGTCCACTATCAGCTGTTCCTCCTCCCCCAGTCTTCTCAGCTCTCTCTTTTCCTCCTCGTTCAGGATTCTCCTAAGCTCATTAAACCCCATTTGTATCCTTTGTCTCTCAGTCTGGATCTGATACTGCAGGAACAGACAGGGAGAGAGAGAGATGTGATGAGTCTGTCAGGCTGGGGTAAGATGTCGGTGTAAGATAGTAGCCCTTCAAACCAGGGCAAACACTGAAATAGAACAGCAATCTGGGGATGTTATTTTATCTTCTATTTTCCCCTTATTACAAACAAATTCCAAATAGGAACAAAAACCAAACAACCCTCTTCTTGTCTTATCTAGGCAACCTCCAAAATAATACAAGGCTGGAATAAAACTCAGATTGTAGACAAATGTCTTGGGTACTCATGGCTCCTTGAATTAGCACTCCTGGTTTTGAAACCTAGAGATAACTTTTTTTGCCCAGTGTCTTCCTGCAGAAGTATCAGAGCCTCAGGGTAAAAGAGAAGAAGGAAGACTCTTCCAGCCTTCAGCCTTATACAGTTTATCTTTGCCTTCAATTCCAAATGTTTACATGTAATTACAAGTCTGCTCCCCACCCCTCATCCCTAAAAGGGAACTTATAGATAGCTTTGGACTTATTGAATGCCAGGGAACAAAGATGAGGGGCCTAATTGGATTAGGACCAAAAGCTAGGGTTCCTTTCAGCATCACTCAGGAAGAATGTCCTGCCTTCCAGGAGATTCTGTCTTCTTTGATGTCAGCTTCCAATTTCTCTGCCTTCTCCTGCTCCTCCCTCAGCCTCTTGAGAGCTTTCTGGAGAGTTTCCTGTGAAAAGGGAATCATATCTGTCATGCTTTCCACCTGGGCAGAGAGCTAACAAAGAAACCCGGTTGTTCCCGAAAAGATCAGTGTATAGAAGTCGTGAGGTTGATGCTTAGCGCTTATGACACAGACGAACATCTGCAGAGAATGCATTCTTTATCCCTAGAGCCATTACCTGCACACCAGCCAGAGCCTGCATCTTTTTCCTTAGAGTAAGGACACACCATGTAGCAGGTGTAATCTTTCCCTCACACTGATGCTCTTCCCACAACCAGTTCACAGTATTCCCCAGCGGTGGCCCTGCAGAGGGTAGCATTCCTCACCCATGCAACACAAGGGAAAGGGAACCCCGAAACCTGCTCTTGGTCAAGAGATTGTGTGTACTGCAGGCCAACCCATTATATAAATGGAAAGAAAAGACATTTCTAGGCATTCGGAATCAAACATAAAGTAAGGGCTCAATACTATGACGGTAATGTGAATCAAGGATGAGAGGGGACAATTTCTTTCTTTTTTTTTTTTTTTTTTTTGGTTTTTCGAGACAGGGTTTCTCTGTGGCTTTGGAGGCTGTCCTGGAACTAGCTCTTGTAGACCAGGCTGGCCTCGAACTCCCAGAGATCCGCCTGCCTCTGCCTCCCGAGTGCTGGGATTAAAGGCGTGCGCCACCAACGCCTGGCTGAGAGGGGACAATTTCTCACCAGGGACCAGTTTCTGCCCTATCTTGCTCCCTCATGGCCTCACCTGACATTCCTTGACTGCTTCCTCCCGGAGGAAGGTGTCGTGATCACGATGCTCCTGAGAATGCATACAAAGCCGGCAAATGACCTTCCTGTCTTCCTTACAGAAGAGAAGGAGTTTCTCCCCGTGATGTATACAGAGATCTCTTTTTGTCCCAGTGCCAGGGTTCGACTTGACTTCCTTAAGTCTGGCTATTACATCTGCCAGATGCCGATTAACCTGTAGGTTTTTAAATGAGAATCTAGTACCACACACAGGACAGCTGCTTTTCCCTCTGCGGTTGACCCCTGCATTCTTCTTGCTCAGGGTGATGCAGGCTTGGCATACATTGTGGCCACAGCCTAGACTCAGGGGTACTTTCAAAAGCTCTTGGCAGACAGGGCAAATGGCCTCCTTCTTTATATTCATCGGAACTGCTGAAGCCATTATACTGCTGCCCTATTTTTTCTTGTCCTAACTTCTGAGACTCTTCTTTCTTAAGGACTACTGGATGGCTGAGAAGACTAGAAAACAATGGTACAGCAGTCTGAAAAGGCAACTTAAAACAGCACGGCCATTATGTATCCTTCAAGGTGGGCGACGTGATGGCAGAAAGCACTTTTCAGCTCTGAGTAGATAGAACCTGAAACAAAGAACAAACCAATATTACTTTGGTGAATAGAACAGAAATACTCCAGATAAAGAATGTAGTGGCAGCACAGAAAAAAAATATACAGACTGAGGCAAAACCAAAGAAGAATGAGAAACTCCGAAAACAAAATTAACACAAGCCTAAGCACTGTGCAGAAGTGCAGTCTCTCTGCAGGAGACCTGGGAGCTGTGTAGTACACTATCAATGGGCAATGTCTCTCTTTTCTTCCTAGAATTTGGCCGCAAAGAACAGTGTTGGTGTCACACTGATTAGGATCTGGCAAGTTTGGGAGTATGCTTTCCTACTTCCATTATTTAAAAAACAAAAAAAAACCAAAACAAACAAACAAAAAACAGCTGGACAGTGGTGGTGAATGCCTTTAATCCTAGCACTCAAGAGGCAGAGGCAGGTCTCTGTGAGTTCAGGATCAGCCTGGTTTACAGAGCAAGTTCCAAGACAGCCAAGGCTACACAGAGAAAAACCTGTCTCAAAAAACAAAACAAAATAAAAAAAGTGACAGAGGGTTATCCAACCTGCTGTTCTCAAGCAGGTCAAGGGCTTGGGCTGTCAGGAACGTCTCTGACAGCCCCTTACTGAGAGTAGGAGGGGAGTAGAGGCCCTTCTTAGCATCTACTAATTTAATTTAATTTTAAAAATAATATATTTCAAATCAAGATCTTACTAAGAACAGGAACAAACCAATGCCAAAATTAGCAGAAAGAAATATGGGATGAAATTAATGAGATGGAAACTAGAAGAATAAAAAGGATCAATTAAACGGAGTTCTTTGGGGCTAGAGAGGTGGCTCAGAGGTTAGGAGCACTGACTGCTCTTCCAGAGGTCCTGAATTCAATTCCCAGCAACCACATGGTGGCTCACAGCCATCCACAATTCAATCTGGTGCTCTCTTCCGGCATGTATGCAGAACACTGTATATGTAATAAATAAATAAATCTTAAAAAACTATTTAAAATAAAAAAATAAACGGAGTTCTTTGAAAGGATAAACAAGTTGAAAATATCTTAGCCAAAGGAGAAAAAAAAAAAAAGAGGGGTGGATGCATATAATCTGTACACATTGTGGAAATGCAAGCAATTAAAAGAACAAAATATATTATCTTTAAAAGTTTTTTGTTTTTATTTTTTGTTTTGTTTTTCGAGACAGGGTTTCTCTGTATTGTTTTGGAGGCTGTCCTGGAACTCTCTCTGTAGACCAGGCTGGCCTCGAACTCACAGAGATCCGCCTGCTTCTGCCTCCCGAGTGCTGTGATTAAAGGTGTGCACCACCAACGCACAGCTTTATCTTTAAAAGTTAATAAAAGAAAAAGCATAATAAGATAAATGTTCAAGCTCCTGTTGGCTGGTACATTAATAAACAGAAAAGTTTAAAAATCACTAAGAGGTCTGGACAGATGGTTCTGTAAGTAAAGATCACTTCTTACTACTCTTTCCAGAGGATTCAAGTTCAATTCCCAGCACCCATATAGTGACTGACGACTATCCATAACTCATGTGCCACAGGGTCTGAAACCTTCTTCTGCTCTCCGAAAGCACACACATATTCTTTCTCTCTCTAATCCCCCCATCCTCCGTTTCCTTTTTATTAGTTTTAAATTTTTTATTTGTTTTTGTTTTTTCAAGACAGGATTTCTCTGTGTAGCCTTAGCTGTCCTAGAACTAGTTTTGTAGAGCAGGCTGGCCTGGAACTCACAGAGATCTGCCTCTGCCTCCTGCCTCCTGCCTCCTGCCTCCTGCCTCTGCCTCTGCCTCCTGAGTGCTGGGACTAAAAGTGTGTGCCACCCACCCAGCTTAATTTGTACTTTTGAGACAAGGTCTCAAGTAGCCTGGGCCAGGCCTCAAACTGGCAGGATAACTAAACATGACCTGGAACTTAACTTCTGACCGTCCTGCCTACACCTCCCAAGTGCTAGGACTATAGACATCCACTCAGCCCACACTTTCTCTTGAATGTGTACTTACTCTCTATAATAAAACTTCCTGCGACTCCTCACAGTGTCTGTCTGGATGCTTTCTCTGACTCAGCAAGAACCCAGAGACACCAGGCAGAGGTCTCTTACAGGCTCACTCCGCCTTTGAGACCTCCCCAGCCTTCCTCACGAGGCATGGTCTCATTGTAGCATCTCCCATGCCCACCTCCTGGTTCTTACCCTGCAACTCCTCTGGAATGAAATACCCTCCTCTCAATTCTAAGGAAAACCAACCTGTATTAAAGCCTTCAAATTCCTCACACTCAAAGAGTCTACTTATGTTTCCTTGCTTTGAAAACTGAAGTTGAAAAGCTTTAATCTTCGAAAACTGTGATTCTGAGGCACAGGTAGGCAGATCTCTGTGAGTTTGAGGCCAGCCTCGTCTACAAAGTGAGTTCCAGGACAGCCAGAGCTATTACACAGAGAAAACCTGTCTCTCAAAACCAAACCAGGAAACAAAACAAGCAAATAAACAAAACAAAAAACAAACAAGAAATCTGTTATCCCATAGCATTAGTATAGTTACTTAATTTTTTATTGTTATTCCTAGGTAGAGTGTAAGCTTGTATATTTATTTCAGTTAGTAAATGTCGAATGGATGCTTACTGCACTTTTTAAATACCAGAAATGTGCTTTATTTGTATAAGATACAAATACACAAATCTGCATTATCTTCTGTTTGGTCATGACTAAACTCTGTCACTTTTTTTGTTGTTTTGTTTTTTGAGACAGGGTTTCTCTGTGTAGCTTTGGAGCCTATCCTGGAACTCGCCCTGTAGACCAGGCTGGCCTTGAACTCACATAGATCTACCTGCCTCTGCCTTCCAAGTGCTGGGATTAAAGGCGTGCGCCACCACCTCCTGGCTCATTTACTCATTTTTGAGACTCACTGCATTGCTGAGGGTGGCGAGCTTTCCTGGCGCAAATATCATCCTGCATGATCCTCCTAAGTAGCTGGGACTGCAAGCCTGTAGCTGCCCCTACCCCCATCTTGCTTGCTTCTGTTTAGCATGCTGTTTTCAAGTAGGTCAAGGGCTCTCGGGATGTCAGGAAGTCACTGACACCCTTAAGAGGGAGTAGGAGGGGGGAGTAGGAGGGGAGTAGAGACTCTTCTTAGTCCCAGTCTATTAGGTAAAGGGGAGAAGAAAGAAGACAGGGAGGAGGGGAGAGAAAGGGGGAGGGGAGAGGGTGCAGAGCTCTTGAGATTCCAGACCTGTTTGCAAGGTAGAATATCACAGCTGAGGAGCAAGAGGAAATGGGAAGGGCTTACCCGGAGAAAGAAGGGTTCTTCCAGAAAACAAGTCTTCCTGTTCAACTTTCAAGACGATTCCTCCCCTAAGTCCTTTTCTCCCTTCAAATCACAACGGCTTCTGCGGACGAAAAGATCTCCCCCCAAACATCACTGAGTTCTCACCTCCTAAGGTCTCCCTCCCTCAGCCCTGCACAAACTTTCGCAGACACTTTTGGACCCTCATTTCTGGGCCCGAAGGAGAAATCTTTCCTCCAGGCTGAAGCGGTGAGGAAAAGTCAAGGACAGGTTTTGCTCAGCACCTGAGTTCAGCCTATCAGCAGCCCCTCCCTCTCCCGATACCGGAGAAAAGAAACTGAAACTCCAGACCAGCGGGAGCAGGAAAGAGGAAGAAACTTCTGGGCCCAAGGGCTGGCAAAACTCTAGGCCGCCGATAGAGGGCGATGCAACAACCTTGGTGATCCAGAGGGGAACAGAGGACGAGTTGGAATTTTAGTGGCCAAGAGCTGTTTGGTGATTGTAGCCAAGGGCTGTCGCTGACTTTAGGTAGGCAGAGGCCATGTTAAGGGAAGATTCCATTCAGTTAAGAAGGCAGTCACTAACTCGGGAGAGGCGGAGAAACCTTTATTAATGTGTGAACCGAAAATAAAACAAATGGTCCAGCGAGCTTTACAGTCCCTTACACTCTCTGAGGGTGGTCTTTGAGTTCCTTAGTCATTAAAGGAAATTAATTCAGTTAGGCAGGTTTTCAGGAACAGAACTCACAGGAAGACAGTTTGTAGCCATAAAATGCATAGGTGTTTCTGGATTACAATATAGCCTTTTGGTAGTGAAAATAGGATCTGCAGCATGTTCGTTGTGGACTGTAACAGTGTCCCGGCTCCCACACCCCCAAGGCATAGTGACTTTTTGTTCTTTTCCAGACAGGGTTTCTGTGTGTAACAGCCCTAGCTGTTCTGTTGTGTCTTTGCTCTGTAGACCTGAGTGCTGGTTTTTGGGTTTTTTTTTTTTTTTTTTTTTTTTGGTTTTTCGAAACAGGGTTTCTCCTGTATTGTTTTGGAGACTGTCCTGGAACTAGCTCTGTAGACCAGGCTGGCCTCGAACTCACAGAGATCCGCCTGTCTCTGCCTCCCAAGTGCTGGTTTTAAAGGCATGCACCACTCACACCTGGCTGCATAGTGGTTTTTAACCAACAGGCAGGACTCTCAGCCTAACTGGTAAAACCAGCTGACTTACTTCTAGGCTACGGTTTGTCTTGCTACCTTAGCATTATATAAACTCTCTTATGTCGCGTCTGCTGCGCGGCCTGTGTCCGAGAACGTGCGGAGGGTGTCGGGGATTGACAACACAGAGACTTGTTCAACGATGTAAAGAAAACTTTAAGCAGGCTCCAAAAAGGTTCAAGAAAACTTCCTAAGAAAGGCTCCCACCAGAGAAGCTTCTGCTCTCTCCTCTCCCCTGGCTGGTTCTGCTCTGACCCCAGAAACTGATCTGGGCGTGGCAGAAGGGGCGGTTAGTCTTTGGACAAGGTCGAGGTCAGGGTGGTTTCTGTAGGCAGGCCTTTTCCAGGAACTTAATGCCCCCAGGCATTGTATTGTTTTTAGCAAACATGTCTTTAGATTGTCTTACAGCTGCCAACTCCCAGGCAGAAGGGGAAGTGGGTCTCTGCTCAAGGTCTGGTGTTCCCACACTCTTACCTTTTCCACTCCCCGCAACCCAAGCTGCAGAAGCTGCTAAATGCGGAGACAGCTCTGTATACAAAAAAATTACCAAGTTAAACCCACTCAACAAGAGGGAACTCATCCCTGATATTGGAAACTTACCTAATTACTCAGTGCTAAAGAAGTCACAGATCGCCAGGCATTGGCGGCACATGCCCTTAGACCCAGCACTCGGGAGGCAGAGGCAGGCAGAGCTCTGTGAGTTCAAGGCCAGCCTGGTCTACAAAGAGAATTCCAAGACAGTCTCCAAAGCCACAGAGAAACCCTGTCTTGAAAAAACAAAGAAAAAAAAATAACAGATTTTGGAGAAGCTACAACCACTACTTTACTAACCCAGCACAATCCCTAACAACATCTCAGCATTTGTCCTTCTGCCCACAGATAAAAGAAGTCCTCGCTGTATTCGAGGGGTGCAGGAAAGAAACTGCAACGGTTGCTTCATGGTTACGGGAAGGTTTGTGTTATAGGTAAGAGATAACATTCAGAGGCAGTTGGAAAGAATCCAGAGCAGAAACAGACTGGACGTGATCACGTGTGTCTTAGAGAGAAGGGAGTCGAAGGAGAACCGGAGGAGAGCATAGTGGATATGGCACGATAATGGTAGTGGTGGGGAACCAGTTATACAGAGAAAAAGAGGTATCTGGGCAGGGGTAAGCCTGGGGAAGCAAGAAAGGATCAGAATGCTAGCATGAGGTCTTTGAAATGTATTAAGGTTACTTGAGACTAGGGACTACAGGAGCATGGAGGCCAGCGTGGGCTTTGATATGCAGCCACAGGTGTAAGTCAGTGGGGACCAAGGGAAATCAGTCCTTTTCACAAGTTCTTGAGGAATGCTGGCTCTGCTTGAATTGGGCTAGGACTGTCATTTCTGGATGTATGAACTGAGACCTAACACTCACTCCTCATCATCTTGTAACAGATGGAGGTCATTACAGGAAATAACGACCAATCAAAATGCAGAGTTGTGGAGTACAGTACTAACTGACACATCTATAAAACACTCCTGTACCTAAGGTTCAGGGAACACAGCTGAAGAGGGGAAGGAAAGATTGTAAGAGCCAAAGGATCAGGGACTTGGCTGTGAGACTCTCTCCCAGGACTGTGAGTAGCTACATGCATCAGTCTCACCATCATAACCGCCTAGAACATGAGCTGTACAAGGAAAATGCCAAAAATCAAAAGGGGGAAAAGTCCTGTGTCAGGAGGAGTTAGTTCACAGGGAGACTGGAACACGGCAAGGGAGAAGCGGCTTCATCAGGCTCTGCTCTGCCAGAGCTTTGAAGTTCAGACAGAGGATCTAAAGTAGCCCTGATGTGGATACAAAGGAGCTAAGGGTTTATTCGGGAGCCATTGATGAGTGACCTTGGCTTAGGAACACCAATTTTGGTTACCCCAAATTCCATATTCCAATGTGCAAGCAGTTTTGATAAAGTTTTTATAGTAACAGAACAAAGAAAATAATAAACCAATACATTTTCACATACATTGGTGCAAATAGGTGGGCAGATTAATCAGAGGGGAAATCTCTGCTACAGACGTCATGCCTTTTGCTCTCTTAGAAAACCCAGTGCTTCTGTTTGCATTTTTCAAATCATTTATGCAATGGGCACAAAGTCTGGTGCAGAGACGGGCAGTACATGGCTAGGAACAGGGCTAAAGACTTCCCTAAATAACTTGATTGTGAACTTTGTAGCACTCCAATGTCTCAGAGTTCCTCCTGGAGGAAAATGAGACAGGCAAGTTTTTTCTTGTAAGAGACAGTTTATTTTACTATCTCTGCATGCAGGCTCAGCACGTTAGTATGCAAGGGTCAAGCTCTGAGTGCAATGGGGCTACCTTTTTGACATCTGTGTCTCCATATATGATGAAGTACAATCTGACTGGGTATCCCAACTCATCAGGTTATGGTCCTGAAACTGTAAATGGAAGGCGTTCACTGGGCAACATGGCAAAGCCCCAGGTAAGCATGTTGGCTAGACCACACAGTTTTTCAGTTCTCTTTTTCTTGGCCCTCTGGAAAACCCCGCTAACTGCTTCACCAAATTTGCAGCACTCACAGACATGCTGATCGATCAGCCTTGCAAAGGTGCAATGGGAGGTGCAGCTCCTTTTTGAGTTTTGTTGGCGACGACTAAGATGTCAAAGACTAGAGTGTAAAAAGTGTAGAAAACTGTTGTGGAATGTAAGCAGAGAGATGGGGGGGGGGTCTAAGAAAGAAGAAGGCTGGACATCAAGGGGGGTCTAAGACAGAAGAGGGCTGGACATCAAGCCTGAGGTAGCAGGAATGAAAGCTACCTTGAATGTGCTTAGCAGCAGTGTAACAGACAAGTAGAAACTACCTGTCAGTATTGTGACCCAAGCCCCTGTCTGGGGATGGCCAAAGAAGAGTCTGAACTTAAAGAGATGGCAACTGAAATTCCCCATAGTAAAATGCAAAGGGGGGAAAGGAGCATATCTGTAAGCAGACAACCCCAGAGAGTACATGCATCACTGGAATGGCAGAAAAAGGATAAAGATGGTGGGATGGGAGCAGGAATATTTAGAGTCAAACACCAAATCACAAGTTCGCAAAGCATAACATCCAGTTGAATAGATTTTTTAAAAAAGCAAACAGTAGTGTTGTCAGGAAAGAGAATATCCTATTAGCGGGTACAAGGAACTGAATATAGGGCCTTGAGCATGCTGTCTCTCCTTTGAATTCCTCCTGAAATTAATTTTTTTTTTGCTAGGGGTGGGGGAGTGAGGAGGTAGGGTGGAGATGGGGGTAGGGGCGTGGTTTGAGACCAGGTTTCTCTGTGGCTTTGGAGGCTGTCCTGGAACTAGCTCTTGTAGACCAAGCCTCTGCCTCCTGAGTGCTGGGATTAAAGACGTGTGCCACCACCACCCATCTGAAATTAATCTTTAATTATGTAGTATGTCAGTAAACTAAAAAGAGGAGCTATTAATATGATAATAAAATTTTTGCTTTAAAATTAAGATTTCTTTACATTGAATTATTTTAAAACTTAGATAAAATTTAAGTCACCCTGTAATAAAGCAATTCTTTTCCAAAGAAGGTACATGTAGTAATTTATTTAAAAACAGTTATTATTGAGAAAGGGTCTTACTGTGTAGCCCCTGGCTTGTAACTCCTTATACAGCCCAGGATGGTGCTAAATCCAGAGATCTGTCTGTGTCTGCCTCCCAAGTGTGGAATTAAAGTCACGAGTCTCCATTTTTGGTTATTTTTAGTTACATATAAATGTTGTGTTTGTGTGTAGGCTAGTACACCTGAATGCAGGGAGGCCAGTAAAAAGCTCCAAATCTTCTGGAGCAAGTTACAGGGGATTGTGGGCGTTTGGATGCATGAGTTCTGGGAACAGACTGTTGGTCCTCTGCAAGAACAGCAGGCATTCTTAATTGCTGAGCCATCATCTCTTCAGGCCCTGTCTTAATTTTGTCTTGCCACTGATTTTTTTGGGTGGTGTTCAGGATGAAAACCAGCTTCTTCCTAACACATGCTAACACAGCCTACCTGTGCACTCTTAAACCACAATTAGAGAAAACTAATTTGTATTCTACAAACTACTATGTTAAATTGCAGAGAAAAGCCAGAATAATATAACTGACAGTACTTTGGACCATTAGTTATGAGCTACTTAATCTCTGCAATACCCCAGAAGGATATTATTGCAGGACACAGGGGAGTGACAGATAGAGCCTACTTGCAGCTTGATAGCTGAGTAAATGAACAGAGCAGCCTTGAGTCTGAAATAGACTCCCATGCATAACCAAGTTGGCGGACAAAGGCTTTCAACAAGTGATTTTGGAAAAACTGCATCTACATAGACAAAGAGAAGGATTTTTGGGGGGGGGTGCCAGTTTCCAGACAGGGTTTCTCTGTGGCTTTGGAGGCTGTCCTGCAACTAGCTCTTGTTAGACCAGGCTGGTCTTGAACTCACAGAGATCCACCTGCCTCTGCCTTCAGAGTGCTAAAACTAAAGGTGTGTGCCATCACTGCCCAACTAAGAGATGGATTTTAATCCACACCTTACACAATTTATGAAAATTATCTCAATGAGGAACATGGGGTTAATGTAAGACCTAAAATTATAAAATATGTAGAAAAATAAGAAATACACTTGATCTAGCATTAAGAAGACTTTTAATTCTTTTCTCCTTGTCTTTCTTTATTAGACTTTTTAAAAGATTTTTTAAATTTAAATTAGAACCAAGGTTGCTTCACATGTCAATCCCAGCTCCCTCTCATTTCCCTCCTCCCCTGTCCCCGCCCCCCTTGTCTTTCTTTTATAGTTTTTTTTGGTTTTTGGTTTTTCAAGACAGGGTTTCTCTGTATTGTTTTGGAGGCTGTCCTGGAACTCACTCTGTAGACCAGGCTGGCCCAGAACTCAGAGATCCTCCTGCCTCTGCCTCCCTAGTGCTGGAATTAAAAGCGTGTGCCACCGACGCCCGGCTCTCTTTTATACTTTTATTTACTTTTTGGTTTTTGAGATAGTCTACATATTTGGCTGTCATAGAACCCCCCCCCCCATACAGACCGGGCTGGTCTTGAATGTAAGGTGTGCCGCCACTCATGGCGATGCCTATTTTTAGAGACAGTCTTGCTCTATTGCTTGGGCTGACCTCAACACGCATGCTATTTTCTTTACATAAGAAATAACATTCCAGCCGAGCGTTGGTGGCACACGCCTTTAATCCCAGCACTCGGGAGGCAGAGGCAGGTGGATCTCAGTGAGTTTGAGGCCAGCCTGGTCTATAAAGTGAGTTCCAAGACAGACAGGACTATTACACAGAGAAACCTGGTCTCGAAAAACCAAAAAGAAAAAACATGTTACCATTTGATACATGCATTTCATTTTCACAGTAGTTTAACATAACCCAGAAAGACGAAGGTGAGAAGACTTCTGCCTTAAGATCCCCCTGGAAATGGTTAGGGCTGGAAGCTTGCTCTGGCCTGTTTAAGCAAGCCTTCCTCGAGGCTTACAGAATTATTTTGGTATCTAGGGTCACTTTATGGATACCTCTTTGGAGCCTTCAAATCAATTTAAGGTTTAGAGATTTGGACTGACTCCTTTGGCCTGGAACTTATTGCATGAGAAAAATGAGAAGGGAGTAACTACTTGAGCAGACCTTTCTTCTCTCTGAACCTCTGCCAGTCCTCCTGGCCCACCTGGCCATTCTCTCTTCAGCAGTGCAGGTCAGCATGAACCCGGCCTGTATCTGTACACATGATTAAAAATAGGAAAACAAATAGCCGGGCGTTGGTGGCACACACCTTTGATCCTAGCACTCGGGAGGCAGAGCAGGCGGATCTCTGTGAGTTCGAGGCCAGGCTGGACCGACAGCCTCCAAAACAATACAGAGAAACCCTGTCTCGTAAAACCAAAAAAAAAAAAAATAAAAAAATAAAATTACAATGAGCTGGGCAGTGGTAGTACATTTTGGAGGCAAAGGCAGATGGATCTCTGAGTTTGATGGATGTCAGCCTGGTCTACAGAGCGAGTTCCAGGACAGCCAGGGCTATACAGAGAAACCCTGTGTCAAAAAACTAAAAACAAACCAAACCAAATAAACAAGCAAACAAAAGTATAATGAAAGCTTTGTGTGGTGGCTCATGCCTGTAACCCCAGCAGTTGGAAGGCTAAGGCAGGAGGCCCATACCACCACGAGTTTGAGGCTAGTCTGGGCTACATGGTTAATTTTGGGCTAACATGGGCTATAGAGTGAGACTCCATCTTGAAATAAAACAAACATTTGAAGTACATAGTAAGTTTTATTTAATACATCCAAAATATCATCATTGTCATACAGTTACTAGTGAGATTACTTTACGTTGCTTTTATGGAAATGCAGAGTGTAGTTTTACACTTACAGTATATCTGATTAGTGCTCAAAAGCCACTGTCTCCCCGACATCAATTTTTACCCTTACATCTGTAACTTTTTCACAGTCGAATATGAAAGCTTGTAGCACCTCTCCACCAACATCATAGCAGCTCACCCATTTAGAACTTGAATTTGTGCAAAAGTAGACGTTCTGGGGTGAGATGAAGAGGCAGCATAAGCCTGTAAACCTAGTTACTTGGGATACTGAGGCAAGCTAAAAGTCAGCCTGGACTTGATTGTAAGCTCAAGCCAGCTGGGCAGCTTGGTAAGACCCTGTGTCAAGAGAACAACAATAACAAAACCCAACCAAACAAAAGAAGGGTTGTCAAGTGTGGTGCTCAAAGGCCAGCCTTACATAAAAAGCCCTGAGTTCAATCCTGAGCTCTGCAACAGGAAGGAGGGTGTTGCGGAACATTCCTTTATACTGTGAAAATGTGTCACTGTGATTGATTTAATAAAGAATAAATATTTGAATGGCAAATAGCTAGGCAGGAAGAGTGGGACTTCTGTGGACACAGAACTCCGAGAGGAGGAAAGGCAGAGTTGCCGCAGGATGGAGAGGAAGCAGGATGGGCAGTACAGAGTAAAGGTAACTGAGCCATGTAAAAGAATGTATTAAATTCTAAGAGCTAGCTAGGAACCAGCCTAAGCTAAGGCCGAGTTTTCATACTTAATAAGAAGTCTCTGCGTCATTTTTTTCTAACTGGCCATCCAAAGAAAATCTGTTTACCGAGAGGGGCTAAAGGAGGGCCAGAATACATCATCACTGTGAAGTAGCTAACTATTACTTCTTCCTCTTCTGAGATAATAATTGGTATTGGTTGATTGTTGTCCTCACCCTTATTTACTTTTTTTCCCTCTTAAGCACATTTTCTGATTTTGATTACTACTCTTAAAATCTTTTTTTTTGGAGCCTATCCTGGCACTCGCTCTGTAGACCAGACTGGCCTCGAACTCACAGAGATCCACCTTCCTCTGCTTCCCGAGTGCTAGGATCAAAGGTATGTGCCACCAACGTCTGGCCTACTCTTAAAATCTTAAAATGAGCTGGGCAGTGGTGACACATGCCTTTAATGTCAGCACTCCTGAGGCAGACAGATCTTTGTGAATTTGAGGCCAGCCCGGTCTACAGAGTGAGTTCCAGGACAGGCTCCAAAGCTACAGAGAAACCTTGTCTCAAAAAAACAAAACAAAACACAACATAAAACAAACAAACAAAAAAAAATCTTAAAATGAAGGTTGAAGGTTGTGGTAGCATTTATTTATCATGAAAACCAAAGCTACAATCTCTTCTTGAAGCCATAAAAAAAAGTGGTGAGTGAATTTTTATTATTTTTTAATCAATGGTCAGTTCAATTTTCTTATTATCTATCAATGGATAGTTTGGATTAAGCACTCAAATCCTATATATACATATATAATCACCTTGCCCATTATTACATTTTGTATAACCTGACAAGATACTACAAAAATGGAAAATTAGAGGCAATTTTGTTTGTAAAGATAGGTAAAAAACAAACCTAAGCAAAAATAAAGTATTGAATATTTCCTATAATAACTGTTTACTTCGGAATCATTGGTGGACTCAACAGTTGAGACAACTTAATGTAGCTGGCCCAGGAGCAGAATAAAAGGGACATACGATTATCTCAATGATCATAGAAAAAAATCTATTGAACTCATTATTTAGTATAAAAACTCCTAATTTATAGAGAAATTCTTACATTCAACCAGACATCAGTTAAAAAAATAAACTCATCAAATACTATGCTTAGCCAGATGTTGTGAGATAGACCAATAATCAGTGCTTGGGAGCTGAGGCAGAAGCACTAATTGTCTGTGGCCAGCCTGGGCTATTTATGGATACCATATGTTGAATATCACTAAAGCAAAACCATAGCAGAAGCCGGACTATTAGTTCAGGGTCATTCTCAATTACACAGAGTTCCAGGGCAGCCTGGGCTACAATCCACTTCAAAACAAACAAAATTCCAACAAATCAAGAGACATTTGCTGGGCCTTGGTGGCGCACGCCTTTAATTCCATCACTCATTGGCAGAAGCAGGCAGATCTCTGTGAGTTGGAGGCCAGCCTGCTCTAACTGAATGAATTCCAGGAAAGCCAGGGCTACACGGAGAAACCCTGTCTGGAAAAACCAAACCAAGACAAAAAGGACAACGCTTAACAGAGAAATGTTAAAAACGTTCCCATGAGATCTGTCAAGTCTTCACTAGCAGCAGTGGGAGGTTATCCTACAAGAACACGGAAAACGGAAGCTCAGAGAGGAATCTCTTATTTGCAGGAATCCACTCATTTGTTGTGGCAGGGGTGCTAGACCTCTCAAGGGCTTGGGCGACGCAGAGTCATGGGGACGACACAGCTGCAGGGATTGAAATATGGACAAAGGGCAGTAGGAAAGTAATACTTAGAGAAGGTGTAGATGGGCAAGCCATGGTTTGTGACATTATAAAAGGACACGGTGCCAGCCTCATAGTCTAAGAAAACCCCTATGCGGCGAGGTGGCACTGTCATGGAGAGGAGCAGGGAGGTGGAGGAGTCCTCATAGGCTCTGTACTCATGCTTGTGTTGCAGCCCAATCACCCAGTACCCGCTCTGGGGCTGGTACCTGGAGTAGGCACTCTGCTTGCTGGGATACTGGCTGAAAGAGAACATGGGTTCCACTGGGTTGCTGCACACACCCAGGATCCACGCCGTCTTCTTGGTCACGTCCACCTCCCAGTAGTATTTTCCTGAGGAGAAGTGCTGAGAGCCCAGGACACTACAGTCATGATGGTCTTCCAGACAGGAAGGCTCAGACAGCTTGGCACCCACGAACCTCACCTGCCTCCGGTTTTTAGACAGGACGAGATTTAAATTCGCCGTCTGTGGATTCAGAGTCACGTCCACTGTAGGAAAAGATACAACAGCAGCAGATGAGAATGGTGCATAGGTCCCACGGCTCTGAGAGGACAAACGGAATGGTGGTGGGGTGTGTCTGGGGGTGGGGGGTGGGGTGGGGCGGCAGGTCACGACTTAGAATTAGTGGAGGAGAGATATGGACACCTAAGACCCGAAAGAACATGCAAGTCTGTTGGGGAGAAGCAGTAAAAGAGGTTTGCAAGTATCAGTTCAGAGAGGCCATGGAGGCTACTCACCCCAGTAGCTCTGGACGTCTGTCAACTCTGCAATGAGACAGTAGAACATGTTAAAGAGAACCGACGGTCTCAGGTCTGCCATCTGAGGAGGTCTGACAATGGTGGGGAACTCAGAAGGTGTGAACTGGTCACTTCATTTCCCCTTAAATAGGCACTGCATTACCTTCAGCGTGCCTGTCCTCTGACTTCTCTCATAACTGCTACTCTCCAACACCCACCGCACCCTCTGCCCTGTTTCTTCCCGCTGTAGTAATCCCACATCCAAAGTCTCCCCGACTCACCTCGAAAGACTCGCAGCATCTTTTTCAGATCCGGGGCTCGAAACAAACTTTTCAGCTTGGTGGGGAGAGCTTGAGGCTTCCTCAGGGTCCAGAACTCACTCCTAGTGAGGGTACACCTTATGAGAACTTCCGGGAGCTGACTGCCTCCCCATCCCTCAGACCCATTAATGAGCTTCAACATTCTTTCCTGAGCAAAGTCAGCATTCTGTAAGGGGCCCTGCGCTGAACCAGAAGACTGGGACTATGAGCCAGCTGCTCATTAACTACATGTGCTTCAGTAGACGTTAACTTTTATTAAAGCCTCATTTTGTTTCTTTTCTTTTGTAAGTTCCATAAGATACAATAATTTTCCCCGTTCTCTCTCACTGTTCTAACGACAGAAGCCAACTGAGAAGAACTGACAGAACTCCAGTAGCTATGGAGTCCTTTGCTACATCTAAGTGTCAGTACCGTATCAGGATGTCCACTAGGAGGCGCCGGAGATGCCCACACTGATCAGAAACCCTGCTTGCTGAGGCTAAAAAACACCGAAAGAAAGGGCTTGCTTCAGCAGGGTGTGCGGGCTTAGACTTCACAGGTACACTGTCTAAGAGGCCTGAAGGCACTGGGTCTATAGGCAACTTTAGATGCCACCTTAGTGGATGGCTTTGTAGATTCGAAAGAGACTTGTTCTGTCCCAGGGTCAAAGCCATTCCCTTCATGCCTCAGGTCTGCTTTTGCTAGAATTGACACAAAAGGAAATCTGAGCACTACGCAGCAAAACCTGGGCTGGAGAGCTAGGGGAGAAAGTAAGTCTCAGCTGGCACGTGAAAAGCCAATTCTCAAGCCTGGGCAAAACATGGATGGTGAGTTCCCTTTAAGATGCACAGCCAAGGGCTGGAGAGATGGCTCAGAGGTTAAGAGCACTGACTGCTCTTCCAGAGGTCTTGAGTTCAATTCCCAGCAACCGCATGGTGGCTCACAACCATCTACAATTCAATCTGGTGTATATGTAATAAATAAATAAATCTTTAAAAAAAATACTGAATCATTCCTTTACTTAAATTTCTAAAAAAAAAAAAAAAAAAAGATGCACAGCCAAGGACAATGTGTGTTGAGGCAGCTGTGGCTAGGAAAACCAGTATCAAAGGCTGGTAGACAGGTTGGTGAAAAAGGAATCTACTGACAATTCTGTCTCCAATTAGAGTCCCCTTACCATACCAATTCTCCAGCCAGGGATGTCAGTCTACTCCCTTATCTTCGAGATCCCTAAAGTCCCATGCGATTCAATACACCAGTTGCAAAACTACCCTGCCTGTGGCTTTCCCCCTTTCCCACAGGTAATTATTTTTTTTAAATATTTATTTATTATGTATACAGTGTTCTATCTGCATGTATATCTATGGGCCAGAATAGGGCACCAGATCTCATTACAGAAGGTGGTTGTGAGTCACCATGTGGTTGTGGATAACTACACTCAGAACCTTTGTTTTTTGGTTTTTGTTTTTTTTTTTTTTGAGACAGTTTCTCTGTGGCTTAGGAGGCTGCCCTGGAACTAGCTCTTATAGACCAGGCTGGTCTGGAACTCACAGAGATCCACCTGCCTCTGCCTCCCGAGTGCTGGGATTAAAGGTGTGGGCCACCAACGCCCGGCAACTCAGAACCTTTGGAAGAGCAGCCAGTGCTCTTAACCTATGAGCCATCTGTCGTACCCCTCCCACAGGTAATTCTATAGAGGGGTAAGCCCAAGGGAATGAACTTATGTTCTCACATACCTTTTTGTGACATCGCTCACATCCTAGGGTAGAAAAAGACAAATTAAGTGAAGGACTATGTCGTCTTCCCACATTATCACCTGGTATAATGACTAAGACTCCCCCCCCCCAAAAGAGAAGTCCAGTTACTACGAAGTATAGATGAGATCTCAGAGGAAGCCAGATACAGCAGGTATGGTGCATGCCTGTGATCCTAGCACTTAGGAGGCTGAGGCACAAGTATTGTGTTTGAGGCCAGTCTAGGTTACATAGTAAGTCCATCTCAAAACAGCTAAACACTCAGAAACAAATGAAAACAACCCCATCTCAGAGTTCCTGAAGGCCCACGGACGAATTTCAGTAAGTTCCTTTGTTTATTGACAGTGCTCAGGATCGAAACCAGGGTTTCATGTGTGGTGGACAAATGTCCCATCACTGAGCTATGTCCTCATTCCTGTGGTTGAAATGTTATGCATGTGTATTACCTGTTATTTGCCATACAACCTGGCCCTTGAGACAGCCCCAGTTTTCTTTTGTTTGTTTGTTTGTTTTGGGTTTTTTGAGGCAGGGTTTCTCTGTGACTTTGCAGGCTGTCCTGGAACTAGCTCTTGTAGACCAGGTTGGTCTTGAACTCACAGAGACCTGCCTGCCTCTGCCTCCCGAATGCTGCGACTAAAGGAGTGTGCCGTTGCCACCTGGCTGAGACAGCCATAGGTTTTAAATGTGGTTCTTACTCAAACTTCATCCTTAGATGATGTACATGCACACACACAAGCTCAGCCCCAGATACCTGGTAAGTATCTGTTACTATAGGGGAATTCTACTCCAGAGAGCAAAAGCAAAGGCTGGTGGCACACAGCCTTATCTGATGGGAATGGCAGAAGTCGTAAGGCCAGCATAGCTGTCTGACAAGGATCCATCAAAGCTGAGCCGAATGACGGCCACCATGCCATCTCTGGTTTTCATCTCCATCTGTTGCATACTTGGGAGACTTTTAATATTTGTGCAATTTGGGGAGATTAGATTAATGGTAAACTTCTTATGAATCACTTATGCCTTCTCCCAGGAGGACTGCTTCTAAGCTTTCCCAGCAAAGTCCTGAACACACTGCCCCTCCTGCTTGAAGGCCTTCCTTATTCCTAGAAGGCTGTGACACATACAAAGAATCCAGAGGTCTCTCTATGAGGCTCTGAGACAGTTTTGAAACTTCTGTCCCCGAACTTACTCAAAAACAAGACAGTCAAAACAAAATAAACTTAAGAAGGTCGACAAGATTTGGTGAGCTAGTGGACTTGGTCACAGTTCGGACTGCAAGCCTCTTCCCACTGTATACTCAGGCAATTACGTGGCATACACAGCAGCAAAGATTAGCTGAAGTTCCCATACCAGAATTTGAATAATAACTGCAGTAGCTTTGGACTGAGGTTATTTCTTGGGCACTCTGACCACTAATAGTTAACTGTACACTGCTTGGGACATGACAATATGCCTGGGCTGACTTGAAGATTTTGTTTTGGTCTAACATCCTTGAAGCAACCAAAGCTACCAGTCTGAGAACAGGCTGCCATATGCCTCTAGTCTTAAAATTTGGGTTATGGGTTAATGAAGAAAAACAAGAACTCTGTCCATCAATGATGTCAAAACTTGAAGGAAAATGATTGGAAATAACTCTGTTCTGTCATAGTTTGTTAATGATGACTAAAAAATGAGCAAGAAAAAGTGAAACTCAAGTCCAAAACTAAAAAAGATAAAATCTATGTTTTGGAACAACATGAATCCTGTTTATAAAATTTTGTACAGGCCGGGCGTTGGTGGTGCACGCCGTTAATCCCCAGCACTCGGGAGGCAGAGGCAGGCAGATCTCTGAGTTTGAGGCCAGCCTGGTCTACAGAGCAAGCTCCAGGACAGACTCCAAAACAATACAGAGAAACCCTGTATCAAAAAACAAAAACCAAACAAACAAACAACAACAACAACAAAAAACAAAACAAAAAAACCCCGAAATTTTATACAAATAAAAAAAGCATCCAGGCTGCTAGCCAGTCAGGGCTGCAAGATTTTCCCAACTACCACACCTGGCTCATCCCCCACCCCCGACCTCTTACATCCTCTGCTGGAACCTGTCCACTGGCAGGGGATGGCTCTCTGGCAGGCTTGTAGGTGCCAATGCTCTAACTCGAATTTGGCATGTGTTTTCCCATGAGGAGACTAAACAAAAGCATCTTACCATTCCCATTACAGCAACAGAGAAATGAGCTGCCTGGTGAACAGAGGTTTTTTAGTTGGGGTTAGACACAGGGCAATGTAAAGAGCTTTGGAATGCCTTATCTGATGGGAAGTGGCCAGGAGTGCTGGGAAATTCCCTACAATGTACAAATGAGAACCTCACAGCTGAGGTTTATCCGTCTTAGAAAGCCAGTAGTCCTGAGGTTGGTAAAGCCTCCTGGAGAGCATTGTTGGATACAACAGGTCTTCACAATTCCAGATAACCACCCGGGCTGCTCATGGCTGGCAATAAATAACAATGAAGCTTCCCTTAGCATTTGCATCTGAACTGTTTTAGGCTTTAGCCCAAGACCTCCTCACAGTTCAATAAAAAAGAAGGTAACAGAAAGACAAAGCAATACTTTTTTCCTCATTTCCATGATAATCCTAGTGCCATACAAGACGGAAAATGGTTTCTCTTTTCCCTGGTTCCTGAAGCAGGGGGTCCTGGCCATTCTCACCTGCAGCAGCTCCACCGTGGACCCCTGGCACCGGTGCTCCAGGTCTGAGATGAGATCTTTCAGTGACTGGCTCTGGTGGATCAGGTCCCCCTCTGCCTTCTCTATGATGCTCAGCCCCTTCTTCTCTTCTGCTTCCAGTTTCTTCAGTTCCCTCTGCTCCTCCCGGTCCAGGATGCTCCTTAGCTGCTTAAACTCGGTCTGGATCCGGTGTCTCTCAGGCTCTACCTGATTCTTCAGCACCAGAAAAGAAAAACAGGCTGCTGGCCCAAGGGTTCTCCCTGGGGGAGGAGGGGCAGGAAACAGGCTGCACACTACTGTCCTGGGCCTGCTGGTCTAAGAGTGGAGGTACATAGGCCTGTAGGGCCTCCCTGAGCCTCAGGCTGCCTTATCTAGGGTTTGGAGATACACCCTGAGATTCTTGGGTGAGTTTAGACTCCAGGAAGCTCATGTAGCCTCTTAGGCTTCTAGGTCAGCCTCTGCTTCCAGTTTCAAGCCCTGGGAGAAATTACTGGTTTATAAAAATCTACCATTCTTCCTTCCTTCCTTTTTTTTTTGTGACAGGGTCTCACTATTGCAGCTTTGGATGGCCTGGTATTGGCTCTGTAGACCAGGCTGGCCTGGAACTCATAGCCATCAGCCTGTCCCTGCCTTCCAAGTGCTAGAATTAAGGGAGTGTACGACCATGCCTGGGAAGCCATTCTTTCCCATATAGTTGCCTTAAAAAACCTGGGATATGGCCCAGATGTTGAGGTGTTCCAGAGAACCTGGGTTAAATTCCCAGTACCTAATGGTGGCTTACGAATGTCTTTAAGTCCAGTTCCCTCTTGTGGCCTCCTCAGGCACCAAACACACTTGTGGTAGACAGTAATATATGCAGACGAAACACCCAACATATAAAACAAAGCAATACAATAAAGTTTAAATTAAAGAAACAAATCAAAACAAAACAAAAACCCAAAGAAAAGTAGATTGCCTTTGATTTGTTTGTTACATAACTTCCACCCCAATTCCCCTACACAAGGAAAAGGGCCAGACCCAGAGGAAGTTCTACGCAGAATGGGAGACACTGAGGCAGGCAGCCCTGGTCCTTGGCTACCTTTGTTGCTGTCCCAGATCACTTTCTGGAGAATCCTACTTGCCTTCCAGGATTCCCTCTTCTCTCGGATAAGAGCTTTTAGCTTCTCAGCTTCCTGCTGCTCCTTTCTCAACTTCTTCAGAGACTCCTGGAACATCTCCTGGAAGGAATATACCAGGTTAAAGAGGGTGCAGCCTCAAACAGTCTTAGCACCTACACATGGAAAGACTACCAACCCCAGGCTCCACAGTGCCTTCTCTACACAGGGAATGCAAACGTCCGCCTAGACAAGCAGACAAGCAAGAGGAGAGGAAAATCTCTGCTGCTGAGCTGGGAGCCACCTTCTAGTTCAACTTCTGAGTAGAGTTCCACAAGGAAATTTGGGCTTCAGGTATAGTTCAGTTGGTAAAGGGTTTGCCTAGCATGCAAAACATACTGGACACTTGTAATCACAGAACTCTGGACATGACGGCAGTAGGACCAGAAGTTCAAAGTCATCTTTAGGTACATAGTCAGTTTGAGGCTATATGGACTACTTGGGACTTGTCTCAAAAAAGAAGAACATAAACCAAACCAAAACTATAAAACAATTAGGAGAGAGCATGAAGTAAGCTCAAGCCTGGGACCTGTTCCCACCTGGTAGTCCTTGGCCACCTCCTCCATGAGGAATGTGTGATGACCATGGTGTTCCTGAGATCGCTCACAAAGCCAACAAATTAACTTCCCATCCTCCTTGCAGAAAAGCTGGAGTTTCTCTCCATGAAGTGCACAAAGAATGACCTCTAGCTGCTTTCCTGGGCCCAACACGACCTCTCTGAGCCTCTTCACTATGATGGCCAGGTGTCGATTAGGCCGGAGGTTCCCAGGCTGGTAGGCCGTCCTGCACACAGGACAGCTGCTCTTCCCTTCTTGGTTGGGCAATGACTTGTCACCGCTTCCTGTGATGCAGTCCTGGCAGAAGCTGTGACCACAGTCTATGCTCAGCGGTTCTGTCAGGAGCTCCAAGCAGATAGGGCAGGTGACTTCATCTCGGATGTCCACCAGAACTGCTGAAGTCATTGTAGCCACTCTCTTGGCTCCTACCTGCCCAGCTCTGACAGGTAGACTGTTTTTGCTTGTAGAATCCTAGGTAGAGAGCAAATGAAAAAGCACGGGCTAAGGAAGGAGAGAGAAAGAGGAACGGTGCTATGCATGCTGAAAAGAGAAGATAGATACATGGGGTAACAAAGTCTCTCCCTCCAACTCAAGCTGAGCTCACATCCAACACCAACTTCCCCTCTTACTACAATGCTTACTGTTTCCTTTACCGCCTCCTGGATAGAAAGAAAAACAGGGACACTGGAGAGACATTACAGAGTTGCCCACCAAGCATGTTCTCAGTGTTAAAAATAAATAAACACACAACTGTCCCAGGATTTTGGATTTGCTGTTCCTGTTGCAAGGGAACCCTTCATTCTGGCATCCACACCAATAACTTCTCCCATGTTGTCTTATCGGAAGGCAACCATTCTTAGCAAGTTCTCACTAGCTTTGTTTTTCTTATCATCACCTGGTTATTTTTAATGGTCTGAGAGAACAGAGTCCTTTGTTTTTTTTGTTCGTGGTTGCACCCACAGAAGCTAGCATAGGACCCTCCTTTAGTGGAAGAACTGATCCTTTCCCATGAGCCTTTTCACCTCATGGTTTATCAGTCCCCTATGCCTGGTCTCCAGGATCACAGGTATCTAAGCTTGTGGACATTGTTCCCCTCATGCCTCTTGCTCAGCTTCTTCCCCCAAACCCCCAAACAGAGAGGAATGGGAGCAATAGGTTTTACAACTAACATGGCCCCCTCTCCCTTTAATGTGTATGGGTGCTTTGCCTGAATGTATGTCTGTGCACCATGTGCATGCCTGGTGCCCACAGAGGCCAGAAGAGGGCACTGGATCTAGGGGAACTGAAGTTAGAGATAGTTGTGAGCTGCCATGTGAGCACAGGGAACCAAATCTGAGTCCTCTCCAACAGAAATGTTACTTTCATTTCAGGCAAAACCACATTTGGAATCTACCACTCTCTGGAGAGTCTTTACATCATGAAAGAATCTATGAGAATAGTAACGGGCACAAGAACAAATTGTATATTACTGTCAAAAGGCAAAATTACAGGAGCTGGAGAGGTAGCTTAGTGATTAAGTGCTCTGGCTGCTCTTCCAGAGAACCAGGGTTCAATTCCCAGAATTTACATGGCTATTCACAATGGTCTGTAACTTCAGTTCCAAGGGATTCAACATTCTCCTCTGGCCTCTGAGGGCACCAGGCGCATGAGTTGTGTACAGACATATATGCAGGCAAAACACTCATATCCATAAAAGTAAATTAACTAGAGCTGGGCAGTGGTGGCACATGCCTTTAATCCCAGCAGACAGGAGGCAGAGGCAGTCAGGTCTCTGTGAGTTCAAGACCAGCTGGGACTGTTACACACAGAAACCCTGTCCAGAAACAAAACAAAACAACCTCCCCCCACCCAAACCAAACCAACAAACAAAAACAAAACCAATAGAGGGGTGTTGGTGGCGGTTGCCTTTAATCCCAGCACTTGGGAGGCAGAGGCAGGAGGATTTACAGAGGCCAGCCTGGTCTACAGAGCAAGTTCTAGGGCAGCCTCCAAAACAATACAGAGAAACCCTGTCTCAAAAAAACAAAAACAAAAAAACCAACAAACTAATTCAATAAAAAAGACAAAATTGTGTATATATTCCCCTATGACGGTGCTGGAATCCAGGCCTTACATTTACTAGCAGGGCCTCTACCACTCAGCCACACCCATACCTAGTTCTGCAAATCCAAAATGAGTTTATATGCAGTCCTACAATTCAACACTAATCGGAACCAAAAATGGCTCACAATACTCTGCCTTACCACCGAGGCCAGCTGTTTACAACCAGAGAAAAGGAAGTGACACAGGAAGCCGGAAGTTAGGTAGAGACAGCCAGATTGGTTCTGACATCTGAGACTATTTATACAGTTGCTTCTGATTGGCAGAGCCTTGGCTACTTGCTGCAAGAGTAAGCTCCGGTCTCTTTACATATCAAGTTAGGTTACAGTTCACTAATGTAATATGAAACCAAGCTTAAAATGCAGGCTGGCGGCTTTAGGTCAATTTAGTGCCAATTAAATAAAACTGCTGATAAATGGAACAGCATTTGAAAACTCATCAGTGAAGCCAGACCCAAGGGTTCCAATGGGGATGAACTGCACACCAGAGAAAAGCAGCTAGGAGTGTAAAGGAAATGCCTAAGTGCACCAGGACTTTGCCGGTTGTTACACAGCTATGTATGCCAAGCAGAACTATGCCTGGTGTGGTGGCGTGTGCCTGAAACTCCAGCATTCGGAAGGAGCGGCAGGCAATCTGCTAGGAGTTAGAGCCAGCATGGGCAAAATAGGGAATATTACAGCAAGACCCTTCTCAAACAAACAAAACCAAGGCACAAATTTAAGAAAACAACCTGGGCTTGGCAGTGCACACCTTTAATCCCAGCACTCAGGAGGCAGGGGAAGGTGATCTCTGAGTTCCAGATCAGTTCTGGGATGAGCTAGGAGTTCATAGTGGGACCCTGTGTCAAATAACTAACAAATACCCTAAAAAAAGAAAATTGTACTCTTGTGATTTCAAACTTGCTACATATGAATTATAACTCAATAATGCTGACCAATAATAATAATGATAATAATAATAATGATAATAATAATAATAATAATAATAATAATAATAATAAAAGTGGCAGGGGGTGGGCAGGATCAATTCAGTAAAATGGCTTGGTGCATGATCGTCTAAGAATAATTTACCACTGTGCTGTTAAATACAGCAGCTACTCATCGCTATTGAGACCTGACATGGGTCTTCCAGTTTTAAGTATTTAAGAAATACACAGACTTTTAAAGTTTTGTATGGAAAATAAGTATCTTGTAAATTTTAATTGACTGTATGTCTTAATATTTTTCATGTATTGGGTTCCATAAAGTCAATTAAAACTAAATCTACTCACTTCATCTTTTTTGCTTGGTTTTTCTGATACAAAGTTCCACTAAGGAGTCCTGGCTACCCAGAATTTACCTTTATGCTTTTGATGGGATTATAGATGTAGGTGAACATGTCTCAAACTTTTCTTCCTATGTAATGGGGCTAATAGAATACTTAAAATGACAGTGGCCCAATTTTTTATCTCATTAGAAATTGCTGTCATTTCTCTTTCTAATGGGACACATTAGATAACCAAGGTTTCTTTCTTCTAGGAAGACTAGAGTGGGAGAGGCTGACTCTCTGGAGCAAGAAGGCCAAATCAGTAGCACAGGAAAGAGAAAAGAATAATGCAGGGTCAGGGAGCCCAGCTGAACCAGAAGACCAGGAGCTGGAGAGATGGCTCAGTGGTAAGAACACTTGTTCTTGCAGAGAAACTGGGTTTGGTTCTCAGCCACACTGCAGATCATAAGTGCTTGTAACTCCAGTTCCAGTGACTTGGATGCCCTCTTCTGGCTTCCATGGGCTCCTGCATGCATGTGGTACACACATACTCAATTATGATCACACATATACATACACTATTTTTTTTAAGATCAGCGAACCACACTAGAGGCTGTACAAAGAGCACTAGCCTCCACTGAAACTCTCTGTACAGCACATCAGCAATGAAAAAAAATTTCAGGGTATTTAGGATGCTTTAGAAGCACCAACCTTTGCCAAGCAGATACAATTCAGGGCACAAAACTGCTAGAAAGGGGAAAGGGGTCCCAAAATACAGACTGACACTTAGATCGGAAGCACCTGTTAGAACAGAAGTTCATCAGGATACCACAATAGCCTTCACAATGAAAATCAGCGATAACCAGGGACACTGGGGTCAAAGCTGGGGACTCAGAAAAGGAATGAAAAAGGCAAGGGGAAAAACTTGTCCACCAGACTGGCCTTGAACACATGGAGACCCATCTGCTTCCTTCCAGAGTGCTGGGATTTAGGGCCTGTGCCACCATACCTGGCTAATGTTATTTTCTATCTTTATGTAGGCCTACATTCCAATCAACCTATTATCAGGAATTGATCTCACATAAAACTGGAACACACCCAGGCGTTGGTTGCACATGCCTTTAATCCCAGCACTTGGAAGGCAGAGACAGGCAGATCTCTGAGTCTGAGTTTGAGGCCAGCCTGTCTGCAAGAGCTAGTTCCAGGACAGCCTCCAAAGCCACAGAGAAACCCTGTCTCGAAAAAAGAAAAACAAACAAACAAAAAAATTGTGGTATCTCACTTGTAATTCCTATTACTAAAAATGTTATATTTTACTGTGTTTAGACATAAATAGAGGTCATATCCTTTTTAAAAAAAATATACTATAAAACATTTAACACTTCTTATTACCCCTTTTCTGATTTTCTTTTTGAGACTCGGTCTTACGTATCCCAGGCTGGTCAGCAACTCACAAGTATCTGAGGATGGCCTTGATCTTTGGATCCCCCAGCCTCCACATCCCAAGAGCTGGTATTATAGGTGTACACCTTGTCCCCCTTACCTCCATATATGGCACAGCATCACCCCTGGTCTACTACCTTTCTTTGCTGTTGGGGATCCAACTCAGGGCTTTGTGCATGCCAGGCAAGGACCCTACCAACTGAGTCACACACCCCAACTTCTTAGCACATTCTTTCCAAAATTGTTTTGATTGTGCATTTTTTTTTAAAGTTAGGCCTGGGGTTTGTCAATAATAACTTCGTTTGAGAATTTACCTCGCCAGCTGGTTTGTTATGTATTTAGAACTCTGCTCTAGTTAACTTTCACCAAAACTTTAGGATCCACACATTGTATTGCTCTGCCCATGCTATATATTAAAAGTGTTGAAGGCTGGGCGGTGGTGGCGCATGCCTTTAATCCCAGTCCTTGGGAGGCAGAGGCAGAAGGATCGTGGTGAATTTGAAGTCAGTCTTGTCAACAGAGCTAGTTCCAGGACAGCAAAGGTTGTCACACAGAGAAACCCTGTCTCAAAAAACAAAAAAACAAAAACAAAACAAAAAAGGTGTTGAAACTCAAAAACTAAATAACAGGCTTAGAGTGTCAGGTCCTGCAGTATAGCTGTAACACCTATTCTCTTGAGCATGCATTTCTCTCAGCTCACTGATGTCCCTTTGCTGAGCTCAGTCAGAGCACTAGGGAAGAGGTGTAGAAGCGGGAGGATGGTTAGCTACAGGGCAGCTTTGGTTACATTCCCCACCCCACCCCCCAAAAAATTAAGAGTGCATAGATTTTACATACATGTTGATATAGTATATAAATTCAATGCTCCCGATCTCAGCGAACTGGTTCATAATCCTGGGCCACCTGGGCCAGAAGTGACGCAGGAGAGTAATGGAACGCTAGGCACTCCCCAGAGAAGGTCCACAAATGAAGAGCATCCCCTGAGCAAAAAATCTCTCCAGAACACATCCGGAAGCCTTTAATTAACTCCGAGGGCCAGAGGGCCTCGCTAAGGTCTTTTCCCAACTCCGCCCAGCTTGCCTCGGCTTCCTCAGGAGAGGCCCCAGGGTTCCTAGCTCCGGCTGGCTGCAGCCAGCGCAGACCGGGGAGGGGCAGGTCGAGTGGCTCGTCTCCCAACTCTTGCTGGGAGAAGTGCGGCCTGCTGCGGAGGGGATAAACCTACTTCCTGGGCAGCCAGGCTGGAGCTGGGGGAGGGGGATGCAGACCTCTGAATCCACGCGGGTCCCCAAACGGGACACTTTCAGAGTAACGCGCTTTCGCCTCCAGAATCCAGGTTCAACGCCTGTAACCCCCTTACACAGCCTATTCCCAGCTGCAATCGTGCCTCTTCGATGCTTCCCAAACTTAAAAACTGCAGTCCCGCACTCTTCCTCCATGCGTGAACCCCAATACAATCTGTAAGGTGGAGTAGACTCTCCACACAAGTGGGATAGCAGCGACTGGTCAGAAAATAGGTTTGCTCACCAACCTAGAATCCGGGACCTGGATCAGTGCCGAGGACTTGCGGCCAGCCAGGAGACTCTTCGTTCAGGACCAAAGCCAGACTCCAGGCAAAAGAGGAGGGGCTGCGCTGGAGGCGGGGCTGCCTTTGGGCAGCCTGGGACGGTCTGAAAACCAGGGACCAAGAACAAGGACAGAAATGCTTTTAGAGAACAGCAAGTTTTGATGCCTATGAGAACACTATCATTTGAGACTTAAGCTTTTGACCACCATGTAAGTGTTTACTACACCTGCTCTCGCTACCAACATATTGAAATATCTAAAGAATAAAAGGTCATCGGACGGTGGTGGAGCATGCCTTTAATCCCAGCACTCGGGAGGCAGAGACAGGCAGATCTCTGTGAGTTCCAAGAAAACCTCCAAAACTACAGAGAAACGCTGTCTTAAACACCCCCCCCCCAAGAATAAAAGGTTTAGCCATATAATTAAATGGTGACTGCATTTGACGTACCATTAAAATCTATCAACTTTAAATTACAGGGTGTGTGTTTATATAGAGACCTGTGCGTGTCTGTTATTTTAATGCACAGAACAAAAAGACCATATACCTTTAAATTGAAGTTTTATTATACATTACATATACAAAACTTTAGCATTTAGGAACTGGGCTATAGATTTTTTTTTAAGGCAGGGCAACTCCGAAAAGTAAAAGAATGACAAACTTCTTGCCTGGGAGATTAACAACCCTAAATCATCTGATTTTAGAGGATGGGGGTGGGGGAGGAGCTGGGAATGTGGCTCAGTTGATGGAATGTTTACCTAACAAACTGGGCTTCCTGGCTCGCACCAGTAATTCAGCGGTAGACTACAAAACTGAGGCAGGAGAGCACTTTAAGTTTAAAACCAGCCTGGGCTGTAGAGTGATTTTGCCTCAAAAAGCTAAAAAAAACAAGCGAAAGACCAAGTCAGGAATATATGCTAGGTGTGAGGAGTGGGAGAGTATGGTCCAAGCCCTTTTTTTGTTTTGTTTTTAAAGACACAATTTCTCTGTGCAGCCCTGGCTGTCCTTGAACTCACCATGTAGACCAGATTGGCCTTGAACTCAGAGATCCACCTGCCTCTCTGCCTCTCCTGAGTAGTACTGGGATTAAAGGTGTGGGCCACCACTGCCTGTCTCCAAGCACTTTTTTTTGTTTGTTTGTTTGTTTGTTTGTTTGTTTTTTGGTTTTTCGAGACAGGGTTTCCCTGTGGCTTTGGAGGCTGTCCTGGAACTCGCTCGGTAGACCAGGCTGGTCTCGAACTCACAGAGATCCGCCTGCCTCTGCCTCCCGAGTGCTGGGATTAAGTCATAGAAAAACAGAACAGAGAAGACAGGACATTGAATGTCTAACATACATGGGTCAATGTTTATTTTTGAGAAAGGGTAATGTGATATATATGTGTATACACACATATGAAAATGGTATGCACGCTCACACACAAAGGTTGACTTGGAACTTGCTATGTAGTTGAGGATGGTCTTGAATTCCATACCATTCAGCTTCTGCTTTTGTGGTGCTGGTATTGGAAGCATGTATCACCTCACTCAGTTTATGCAATGTTGGGGACTGAACCCAGGGCTTTGTGTATCTGTCAAATACTCTGTCAATGGGGCTAGCCTCTAGAAGAGATGTATGATCAGCACCAATAGGTGTTGTCTTATGGAAGAAGAATTCGGTAAGGTCTCAAAGTTAGGGAATAAAAATGTGGAATAAAAGGATCTCAGAATTGTGGTTCTTCCAGATTCCTGTGTTTTACACTCCTGTGATGACTCCAGACTTGGTTGTTGAGTTACATAAAACTGCTGTAGAACCTTAGTTTGCCTTCTCTTTGTTTCTTCAAATTCCAAATCAAGTCTCAGAATTGTAGCTTTTTTACTACTATTGAAAGGGGAAAACTAAACTGAAAGGCTTCACTTCTAATAATTTAGAAATAAAGGGACCAGACCCTCACTCAGCCCCCTGCTTTAGTACCCATGACAGGTTACAGAAAAGACACATAGACCTCTGACACAAGGAAACTCCAGATCCTCTGTCCTCCAAGAGCCTAGGGCCAAAACTGAACACAAAAGAAACTCCAGACCACCACCACCTGTCACCAGCTTCCTAGATGCTTGGTTCCTGGGAACAGTTTGGCCACAAAAGAAACTCCAGGGGGACCAAAACCTGCCCTGTAGTCTCCAGGATATAGTTCTGAAAACTATTGGTATCTATGCCTGCAATCCTAGCACTTGGGTGGCTGAGGCAGGAGAACTGTTGTGAATTCCAGAAAGCATGGGCTTTCAGAGTGTGACCCTAACTCAATAAACAAACAAACAAAAAAAAATCAGACATAAGCAAAATCATTTTTCTGGAACTGACTGATGGAGAATATCTTTGTGGCATCAGCTATCATCTTTGACCATTTTCTGTTCTATCTTCAACTGTCTCAGAGCTACCAGGAGCTTTTCCTGCAAGGAATGTGTTCCAAGACGGTATGAATTAAAAGGGCTTAGAGATATGTTTTTTTTTTGTTCTGTCTTATTTATTTGTTTATGCTTTTTCTTAGATTGTTTATCTTTCCTCTAAACCATAAAATATCACTGACTCCAATATTCCTGTGATAATGGAAAGGCAAGCTCTTTTAAAAATATCTTATTTAAGAATAAATGTGTGTGTGTGTGTGTGTGTGTGAGAGAGAGAGAGAGAGAGAGAGAGAGAGAGAGAGAGAGAGAGAGAGAGAGAGAGAGAGATTGATTGATTGATTGAAACAGAAACAGACACAGAAACAGAGGAAGCCCTAAGAGGGCATCAGATTTCCTGGAGCAGTTATCAACTGTGTGCTGTGGGCCCTGGAGATCTTGGTCCTCTAGAGGACTCCCATGCTATCTCTCTATCCTTAGAAGAAAATCTTACAATTTAAAAGTCACACATATATCACATGGTGTTCTTCACTGTGATACACCCTAGAAGCATACTCTTTGTTCAGTGAACTGAATCCATCTAAAAAAGTCAAGCTTGATGGTGGGCAATTGTAATTCCAGGACTAGGTAGGTGGAGACAGGAAGTTCCTTGAGGCTCACTGGCCAGCCATTCTAGACTAATGGGGGCTCTTGAGGACAATGAGAGACCCTGTCTTAAAAATTAGGTGAATGGTGCCAGGCAGTGGTAGTGCACGCCTTTAATCCCAGCACTTGGGAGGCAGAGGCAGGCAGATCTCTGTGAGTTCGAGACCTGCCTGGTCTTCAAGATCTAGTTCCAGGACAGCCTCCAAAGCCACAGAGAACCCCTGTCTTGAAAAACCAAAAAAAAAAAAAAAAAAAAGAGGTGAATGGCATTGGAATGCTAGCTGAGATGGTCCTCTGACCTACACACACACACACACACACACACACACACACACACACACACAGGCATGCACCTACACACATAGGAATACATACGCACCATAAAAGTATTGAAAATAATAACTTTCTGTCCAAACTTTCAAATACAACACATATGTGCCACAAGTCTAGTCTGCCTTTGAACTGTTTTTCTATACATGATATGATGCAATTTCAATTTCTTATATTCTTAGAATTCTTTATATATTTTTTATTTTTCTTAATAGTGTAGGGGGGCAGAGGTTGATATTGCGAATCATCAATCTCTTCCCTACCTTATTTTTGGATAGGGTGTCTGTCACTGAATCTGAGCTCACTGAACCTGATTAGTTAGATTGACTAGCCAGTGAGCCCCTGGTATCCTGTGTCCACCTTCCCAGATCTAGAGCTACAAGTACACACCCACACAAACACACCTTGTTGTTTTTACACAGGTACTAGGGATTCAAAGTTAGGTTCTTGGGCTAATACAGGAGATGCTATATCTACTAAACCATCTCCCTAGTCCCATATTCTCAGTAGTGTTTGTTGTTTGTTTGCTTGAGACAAGGTCTCACTATGCATCCCTGGCTTCCCCCTCCTACTATTCTTTTTTGGGAGTGGGTTTCCAGACAGGGCTCTGTGTAATGGTTCTGGCTGCTCTGGAACTCGCTCTGTAGAGCAGGCTGGACTGGAACTCATATAGATCTGTCTGCTTCTGTCTCCTGAGTGGGATTACAAGCCACTGCCCAGCTCCGTGGTATTCTTAAAGGCAGTAATTTTCTATTTTGTAACAGTTCTGTTCATGTCATAAAACTACATAAAGTGACATTATTGTGCCCAAACTCCAAACCCCCCAAATCACCAAGACCCATTCCAATGCAAAAGCAAAGAATCTTTTATTGTTTAACAAGCTAACCCCATTAGCTCGGATCCTTTGTTCATCGTGGTGGGTGCCTAGAGAAGGAATCATGAGGCCTGGAAATATATTTGGTAGAGCAAGGGGAGTGTCTAGGAGTCTGTAACAGTCTCAGGATTGGTGTGCTTCCGGGCTTGGGCAGCCTGTACTGTGATGATTGGCCAGCTGGTTGTTATGGCCGATAGGCCCTCCCAGGGCGGTTGCTATGCTCTGCACGGCACTGTTATGCACTTGTACCGTAAAGCACACCCAGAGTGGTAAAGCAGAGCCCCGCCAGCTAACTTCTGATTGGTTCCTTGCCACAAGGAGGGTATCTGACCTAGTGACTGGGGCAGCCTCAGCAAGGTCATGCAAGCACATATTGAGTCTTTTCTGCTGTCCCAGGGAACAAAGGGCTGCCTCTGGATTGAGAGGAGACAGACGTGGTCCTTGGACAAATGGCGGTTTATGAAGGAAAAATTATTCGAATGAGGTGTTTAATTTTAATTGGGCATACTAATTAGGTGAGCCAAAGGGAACTTTTGATTACTGGACTTCAATAGCTGGATCTTGGTAGTCAGCCTCAGGAGGAGAAGTGGCCAAGTAAGGGAACAGACCTGGGGGGGGGGTAGCTAATGTAATCTAAGGATTTGTAGCTAAAGCAGGAGGCTGGTCCCTTCAACATGTCTTTTTTTTTTTCTTTTACTATTTTATAGTAGTTCTCACTAGTGACATACAACCTTTTAAATTGTTGAGCTATAGACTGTACATAGTAAACTAACTGCTAACTCCGTGTTAGACTGAACTTCAACCCAGGCCAGTATTTCCCTAAGTTAGCATAGTCAATTACTTCTCAAAAAATATTTCCATTATGAACAAAAGTATTATGTATAAAATGCAATGATAAGCAGGGCGTTGGTGGCGCACACCTTTAATCCCAGCACTTGGGAGGCAGAGGCAGGCGGATCTCTGTGAGTTCGAGGCCAGCCTGCTCTACAGAGCGAGTTCCAGGACAGCCTCCAAAGCCACAGAGAAACCCTGTCTCGAAAAACCAAAAATAAAAAAATAAAAATAAATAAATAAAATGCAATGATATGTATCTAACGTATTGAATGTAAAATGTTAAATTCCATATAACTATGTGCCTCACTGGAAAAAAGTTGGTAGATTATTATTTCCTAAAATCAACCCAAATATTAGACAACAGAGAGGGTAGAAGCTTACCAAAGCTCACATTTTCACAGAAGGTGGAGTGTGTTCTTACAGTTGCAGCTACTCTCTTGTGTCTTTATCTGAGCCTGCAGTGACAGTGACATTCACTGTGCCGTGGAAAGCAGGCTACCACCTTTACAAAAGAAGTGCACTTATGTGATCTTCATCTTCAGAACACTGAATCAGTATAACTCCAACAGCCAAACAAATCTTATTTGTCGTGTGTGTGTGTGTGTGTGTGTGTGTGTGCGCGCGCACACTTATGTGATCTTACTTCACCTTCAGAACCCTGAATCAGCATAACTCCAACAGCCAAACAAATCTTATTTGTCGTGTGTGTGTGTGTGTGTGTGTGTGTGTATGTGTGTGTGTGTGTACCCCTGCTTATAAAATGGCTTCATAATGCTCTGTCCTGAACTTTTCTGTGTGATGAGAATTCTGGCTTCACCTAAGGTCTGGCAAAAGTCCGCCAACTAAATTTGGCAGCAGTAGAAACTTCTCTTCTGTGTCTGAGAGGGGATGGCTCTACTTGCAGCATTGGGAATGAGGGAGAGGTTAATGCATGACACATTAGACATAGGCTAGCCATGTGGTACCAAGGAAATCTTCAGAGCTTTGCTTTGACCTTAAAGAATGGCAAATCACTGAAAACATTTTTAATGAAATTAAACTTCAGGTTTACATTTTGAATACTGAATCAACTTCAACCACAGAAATTTAGAAAAAAATTCAAAAAAGTAAATCTAAAAACGAGTGCCTATATATGAGGTATAGTTACTCATGGAGATGTAGCTGAAGAGCTAGTTGATTTGAGACAGGTAAATGTTGAAAATAGGACAGTGTGCTGACTGTCTGAATTAAGAGGGAAAAGGGGAAGATGGGATGACTTCTGAAGGGACACTAGCTCAATGGAGCATGTGACTGTGATAGGCCTGGATCAGTTTCCTCTGCTTTGCTACAAACCCTTAGATTACATTCCTGAAGCTAGCCCCCTGGTCTGTTCCCTTATTTGGCCACTTCCTCCTCCTAAGGCTGACTACCAAGATCCAGCTATTGAAGTCCAGTAATCAAAAGTTCCCTTTGGCTCACCTAATTAGTATGCCCAATTAAAATTAAACACCTCATTCGAATAATTTTTCCTTCATAAACCGCCATTTGTCCATGGACCACGTCTGTCTCCTCTCAATCCAGAGGCAGCCCTTTGTTCCCTGGGACAAATATCCCTTACCCCTCCCTTGCTCCTTTTCTACCCTCTCCCTTGTTCCCTTCCTCTTCTCCCTCTTTTCCCCATCTCCTGTCTTTGTCCCTGATTGCTGCCCTCAGTCCCTCTAGGACAAATAAATCTCCTTTGTACTGATAACTTTGTCTTTAGGGTCCTGAGCCAATATTTTTCCTTTCAATGTCTGATTTTTAGTACTGAAAATAGAAACAACAAAAAAAGCAGAAAGATAGACAAAATTTTTCATTTTATCTTTAAAATTTTTATTTTTTTTGGTTTTCCGAGACAGGGTTTCTCTGTGTAGCTTTGGAGGCTGTCCTGGAACTCACTCTGTAGACCAGGCTGACTTTAAACTCACAGAGATCCACCTGCCTCTACCTCTTGAGTGCTGGGATTGAAGGCATGAGCTACCACAAGCCGAATTAATCAGTCTTGAGTGAGTTTAGGGAGAGTTGTTCTCTATCATAGCAAACTGGGCTGATATTTGGTGTTACTAATTACTGATAAGTGACCAAGTTATTAAAGCATACATCAGTGCTTATATATTTATTTAACTAGTAACTAAAGAATACAATAATCCAAAGACATTAGATAAAACTAAATATTGCACGTTTATGGACTTGCACAGTTGCTAAGAAACACAAATATCATCTCATGGAACTATAAATATTTGGGTGTAACAGTTCTCTGGGGTTACCAAACGGAATATTTTGAACCAGCACATAATGCCAAAACTATACAGAAATAATTAAGAAACTATTAAGGAGCCAATCAAATACATGTCAAGTAAAGTATGGTAAACCCAGAGTAAGTTATTGTGATTCTCTCAGTTACTAAAGTGGAAGGGGAAGAGACCACACTTGAAGAATATGAGAGTGGAGTGGGTAGGTACTACTATAGTTTCCTAAGAAAAGCAATCAGAGGTTGGTTCGAATAAATGACATTTTTTGAATAAATGGGGACATGGGTAAGAATCATTTAGGCATAACTAGAAGTGTAGATGTGAGGACACAGTAAACACAGGGTATATATTTTATTTTATTCTTTTATTTATTTATTTATTTATTTATTTATTTATTTATTTATTTTGAGACAGGGTTTCTCTGTCACTTTGGAGGCAGGCTGTCCTGGAACTTGCTCTGTAGAACAGGCTGGCCTAAAACTCACAGACCTGCCTCTGCCTCCCAAGTGTTGGGATTAAAGGTTTGCACCACCATCGCCTGGCAACACAGGGCATTTGATAAATACAGAAACAGAGTCAGTTGAGACCAAATTGTGGGCATTTACTTAAATTCTTTGGTAACATTTGCAAACATTTGCTTAGCTCCTTCCAATATCTGCTTTGTCCTCACTCCCTAAATCACAGGATTGAGCATAGGTGGGATAACCACATAGAGGTTGGCCAGCAGGATGTGGACATAACGTGGAATGAGTTTCCCACCAAACCTGTAGGCAAAGACAGAGAAGAGGGCAGGGAAGTAGAACAGTAGGATGACACAGACATGGGATCCACAAGTACTCAGGGCCTTGGCCCGGGCTTTCTGGGAAGAGAGGCGGAACACAGCGTGGAGGATGTGGACATAGGAAACAGCAATGAGAATGATGTCCAGGCCTGTGGAGAGAAGAGCAGCTTCCAGGCCATACCAGACATTGATGGAAATGTCAGAACAGGACAGGCGGGCAATACCCATGTACTCACAAAATGTGTGTTCGATGACATTGATCCGGCAGTAGTGCAACCGCTTGAGGAGCAAGATGGATGATTATAAAACTGCGGGTCAGGGTAGCGGCAGCAATCTTTCCTACGACCTGCCTCGTCAGGATGGTGGTGTATCTCAGAGGAGAGCATATTGCCACTTATCAGTCAAAAGCCATGGCCAGCAGGACAGTAGAGTCAGCCACGAAGAGGAAGTGGATAAAGAACATCTGAGTCAGGCAGCCATCAAAGGAGATGTGGCTAGAACCTAGCCAGAAGTTGGCCAGGGTCTTGGGCATGGTGGAGGTAGACAACAGGACATCAGCACTGGCCAGCATGGACAGGAATATGTACATGGGTTCATGGAGGCTTGGCTGGGAGAGGATGGCACAGATTATAATGCTGTTGCCTGCCAGGGCGGCTATGTACATGGTACAAAAGAGAATGGACAGCCACACATGAAGATACTCCAGCCCAGGGATGCCGGTGAGGAGGCAGCCCGCTGTGCGCGTGTCGGAGTGGTTCACAGCAGCCTCTCTGTGAGCGGGTAAGAAAGCCATGACTTTCTGCAGTGCCTGTGTCATAGAAGGAGAGCCTGTTCAAAGTTTGATCACAGTCAGCAGAGTGTAAGCAGGCTTGTAAACAGACAGGCCAGCTCATGATCACACGCCCTACCACAACCAAGGGCTCCGCATACAAGCCCATGCTCCACACACAAAAACTCAGAGAATCCACTCACAGTGCACCATTGCAGGCTTTTCTCACAGATCAGCTCTGCATCCTCCTTCAGGAACTCTATCTAGCTGTCAAGCTTTCTGGAAGCCACCAAGTGAAGGCATGTTGAATGGGTTCTGAATGGTACCATCATCTAGAACACTGAAAGTAATCTCTAGAGCTGCAGATGTATCAGAGGTAGACATAGCCTGTCAGCTTCTAAATAAATGATAAAAACCAAAAAGAACTAATGGGCCTGAGAGATAGTTAAGTGCATTTCAGGGGACCAGGGTTTGATTTCCATGCATATGTTGATTTACATCATTTATATTGCAAATTGCTCCATTTCTAGGTGGATCTTACTTCCTTTTCTGGTCTCTGCTGGCATTAGCACACACATTGTGTTTTTTTAAACATACATGCAATAAAATGCTCATACATATAAAGTAACTTTAAAAAAAGAAAGGAACAGTATTTTTTGGTGTTGATTGAGAAGCTTCATTATTTTGTAAATAAATCTATGTGCGATGAAAGAACATTGTCCGATTTGTACCTGCTTTATTTCTAACATTTTTTTCTTTATAACTGGAAGATTTATTTAAATATTATTTGTAAAAGTGTTCCTGTAGAAATTGGGATTCTAAACAGTGAGCTGCATTTCTCTGTTTTTAATTTAATTTTATGTATATGAATGTGTGCCTCAGTGTACTTCTGTGAACTTTGTTATTGTCTGGTGCTCATGGAGGCCAGAAGAGGGTGTCAGATCCCCTGGAGCTAGACTTACAGATGGTTGTGAAGCCTCATGTGGGTGCTAAGAATTGAACCCATGTCCTCTGGAAGAGCAGCCTGTGCTATTAACTGCTAAGTCATTTCTCCAGCTCCCATGTCTTTTGTTTGTTTGTTTTTAATATGGGTGATGGGGATCAAACTCAGGTCCTCATATTAACACAGGAAACACTTTACCAATTGAGCTATCTCCCTGGCTCTCATTTTCCAGGTTTTTAGGATGAGCATAATTTTATCTTGTTGGCATATTAAATTAAAATTTATCTGTTGAAGCCATTAAATCATCTGGCTGGTCCCCAGTCCCTTGTGTGGCTCGCAGTATGATATTACTGCCCAGTGCTGGAAGGGAGGTGTATCATCATGTTTCGGCAGTATGATCCCCAGATTCCTGTCATTAGAATCATCAGGGAACATCTGAATTCTTTGGCCTGCATACCTGCTGACCTAGAAAATATGGGCTGAGGGATAGCAATCTGTGCTTTGATACCCTTAGGTGATTCTGACTAAGCTGGAGTTCATGACCATGCATCTAAGGACTATGCTTTCTTCCTTATGGAGTCTAGATGTCCCCACTTCTGCAGGTATCATTGACTTTTCACCCTTCCTCGATTTTTTTTTTTTTTTTTTTGGTTTTTTCGAGACAGGGTTTCTCTGTGGCTTTGGAGGCTGTCCTGGAACTCGCTCTGTAGACCAGGCTGGCCTCGAACTCACAGAGATCTGCCTGCCTCTGCCTCCCGAGTGCTGGGATTAAAGGCGTGCGCCACCAACGCCCGGCCCCTTCCTCGATTTTTATCACATCAGCCCTGAGCATGCTCAGACTCAGTTGAGTCTGGTGGCTCCACCCTCAGCTTAGGCATAACACAAAGAAAATGGCATCTGCACTCGTATTAGGTCCCTTGAATGCTTTTCAGTCCTTTTAAGTTATCCTAAATCAATATGCAACTCTGACTGCTGTCTGAATCCCACTTGTGTCTCTTTTATTTTTATCATGTGTATCTGAATGTATGCCATATGTGTACATGTAAGCATGAAGGGCAAAAGAGGGCTTTGGGTCCTTGGAACTGAAGTTACAATAGGTTGTGAGTGCCTGGCATGGATTCTGGGAGTTGAACTTGGGTACACTGAAAGAGCAGTATGTACTCTTCAGTGCTGAGCCATTTCTCCCTCTCTCTCCCACAACTTTTACGTGCAGTAATAGCCTGTTTAATGCTTGCATGCAATACTCTTACAGGTTTCTCCCTTCAAACTTGTATGCCAGTTAATCTGCCCTCTTCCGCCTCTGTAGCACGATGTGTCTTCTGTTCCCTTTACTTTTGTCTTAATTAAGAAGTCTAGATTTTTTTTATGCAGAAATACTTTTCTCATCCCCAGAGTGACTAGGGCTGAGACAGTAAGTAGTAGGTCCTTTATAATCCTATATTCATATTCTCTCCACACCCTCTGCCCCTTCCTCTCTTCTTTTCTCTCCTCTTAACACATTGGTAAATTTTCAGCAGTACTGTATGATATGCTCCCTGATGTCTGCCTTAGAATTTCTACGAGGTGGGATATTGAAAGGAGGAGAGAACAGGTGTCTTCCTGTCACTCAGCCAAGCTCCTAGTGATGATAACATCCATGGACATCATAAGACTGGTGGGTTTATGATCATAGTCTCTCTCCTCTGTTCTACTCTATGCTTGGTGCCATTTGAGCTCCTTCTTCCCACTGCTGGTGTCCACATTGTGGGTGACATCAGTACCTGTACCAACCTTCTCCACCTTGGATGCTGCCTGCTCCTCCAAGGCATCCTGAGCTCTCTGCATCTCCCTCTATTCCAGTGATCGCTGCCCTCCAGTTCAGGCACCCACTGACCCACACATCGTCCCTATCCAGCAAGTCCAGCAACCCCACTTTAAAAACCCATCAAGAAATCCTTTCTTTCACACTCTCTCTCTTCATATGCCCAAGACTCTTACGTACCAATCCCTCCTCCTGTAACATCGGAACCTCCTCCCCCTTTCAAGGTGTCTCCTCCACCTAAACATTCACTAGAGTAGAACCCGAAGAGAGGTAAACTCTTCAGAGTAAACTATGTAGGTAGCAGACTTTATTCTCTTTCTCTTAGCTGGGCTTCAACTCTGCCAGAGACAGAGACCCAAAGCCAGCAATGTGCATGCTACTGATTTCACATTCTCCCCCAGGCCTCAATGCTTCCTTATCCTGGTTTCTTCTCTGTTTCCTCTTGCAGGCAGTAGATTCCCTGTATATGTCGTTTTTATTACAAATGTAGGCAGTTACTGGAACCTGTCTGTCATCCTCTTATTCCTTGTTGATCTCTTAACCAATGAATGTTGGGCCTAAAGCTTTCTTCTCTTCTCTCTTCTAAGCCTGAGTACAGCTCCTGTATCCCCCTTTGTCTGCAGAAACACAGACATATATTTGAATTTATCTTGTTTTCTCTATGTCCTGGCTGTCCTCCTCCATCATTAATAAAAATTATTTTTTTGTGTGTAAATGTGTTAACACAAATGCCACAGTGCACGTGTGGAGGTTAGAGGCCAACTTGCAGGAGTTGGTTCTTTCCTTCTACCATGTGGGTCCTAATTAGGTCAGATTTTCAGGCTTGACAGCAATCACCCTTGCCCTCTGAGCCATGTCGCTGCCCCCTCCTCCATCCCTTAATTCTCTTCTTTCGGCTGGAAAAAAATTTCCTCTACTATTCTGTCCTTCACCTGACCATGTGTCCAGCTTGGCATGTGTCCTCTCCAAATGGTCCCCAGCACCCTCCTTTTCCTTCTGCTCTGCCTCAGTGTCTAATGTACGGCATTTATAGTCTTCCATAGGAGCTAAGGATCAGCTACCCACCTATCTCTCCATCCTCGCTTGAAATGTGACCCCCAAACTACCCTCCATACTCACTCCCAGGAAAATACAGCTCATCCCACCTACCCTCCACCCCTCTCTGAAGAGCACTGAGGACTTGGGCACGTCTGCAGTGTTTTCTCACTCTTTCTTTTGTTTTAACACTTCCCTCCACCCGAGAAACCTCTTCAAGACTTACCTCTCCCTGTGGTAAGTCCTGCCTTCTGATTCAATTGCTCAGTTCCACGCTTCGTCTGTAGCTCATGTTTCTTAAATGTATGGATATGGTCTCGGGCTTACCTCACGGTGTTTATCCTTTCCTGTCCTCTGGGAGAAGCAATTTTCCTGTTTTTGTGTATCCCGTCGTTCCTCAGCTTCAGCTGCCTCTCTCATCATTTGGGCCAATCTGAGGCCATGGCAATTAACACAGGTGTCTATTGCACATGCACAAGGGTAGCACTGGCATGGAGCCAAATGGAGCAGAGTGTTTCTGATAGACGCCACATATATGATGAGCAGAGAGGGGACCTGGCAGCAGCTCAGGTGCTTGTCCCCACTGCTTTTGTTTTTGTTTGTTTTAACTTTGCTTACTTTCCCTGTTCTAATGTTACTCTTTTTCCTGATGTCAGTCCCACTTTTTTCCTCCCTTCCTCTCTATTATCCTTCCTGAAGCATTTTCTCCCAGTGCTTTTTCCCAATTACTTTCCTCATGGCTTTTCAAGCCCAAGTTTGTCTTTTGAGGCAGGATAGAAAGTCAAGGAAGATTAGGAGTGCGATGAGGAGGAAAGGGAATGCCCAACTCTAGAGTCTGGATGAAGTTTCTTGCCAGCCAAAAATCTAGAATTCTAGTACAGTCAGCAAAATTTCCTGTGAAGGTCACCTACCCTAGAGATAGTTCTCCTTTTCTGTAGAAATATGCCAGCAGAGACAGAGAGGCATAGGCACGTGGATCTGTGAGTTTGAGGCCAGTCTGGTCTACAAGGACATCCAGGACCACACAGAGAAACTGTGTCTCAAAAAAACAAAACAAAACACAAAACAAATCAAAAGATTGTTAAATAGCACTGAACAGTGAGTTTAGTATTACTGCTTTTACAGACATTTTCTGAGAATCTTACAAACAAGACTATCAGCTTTGGTTTACAATAAAAACATTCTAACTTCCCTTTCTACCTCTTGATCTAGGGTGTTACCTTAGTAGCTGTGATCTTATTCAGC